CTATGTCGCACCGATATGGATACAGCGACACAATACGGACACGTGACACGTCAATTCTTAAAAATAAAGGATACGGGTACGGCACGGACACGTCATTATAATTTATAAATCATACATAAAAATTAAGAAAACAATCAAAGCATAATATTTGAAATTACAAAAAATGAAAGCAACATCATTTGTAGCTTTGTGGCTTATAATATCAAAATAAAAGTAAGCATTGAATGTCTAGTACAACAACAAAAGCATAAACATAAATTGTCTAGCACATGAAGTTTCAAATATTCAATAGAAGGAATGATCTGATTAGCTGCTTCAGTGGTTTTTCTTTGAAGTTCTATCTCATCTTCAATAAATATCATAGCTTCTAATTCAAGCTCATAAAGTAAAAGATTAGCAATTTTTAATATTCCCATATCATCAAGTGACTCAAATCCATATCGGAAATGAGAGAACCTCGCTCGCAGTCGCGGAAGTAAATACGACGCGTCTTTTTTTTCAGATTTTTTTGCTTTTCAAAGGACACGTGTATCCGTATCGGATACGCGTTTCCTTTTAAAATTAAATAGTATTTTAATTGGCTACGACAAACATGTATCGGTGCCGTATTGGAGGCGTATCCATGTATCGGTGTATTGGATACAACACGCCGTCATAAATAGGTGTATCGGCGCAACATATGCCACCATAAATGCTTTTAAGATCCTCTATCTCTCTACGAACATGTCCATTTAAATCTCCCCCAATAAACACTCTTTCTGCATGAGTTATGTTTTGTATAAATTCTTCAAAGCCATTCCAAAATTTTAATTTTAAACACATACCCAAATCTACTTGAGGATCATAAGCTCTTATAATATTAATAATCTTATCATCAACAATAATCTTTAAAGTTATAATTTTTTCTCAAATTTTATCAATTTTTACAACATTGTTTTTCAAACTCTTATCTATAATGACACCTACATCATTTCTAGTAAGACTTCTACTATAATACCAATGTTTAAGCCATAAATTATCAATCTCTTTAGCCTTCTCTCCCACCCATTTAATTTTATGAGTGTATAGAATATTTATCTTCCTATGAATCATAATATCAATTAATCCCATTAATTATTGTGAGGGAACCTACATTCCAAGATCCCAATCTATTTTTAGTTTCATGGACTGACTTCTATGCCCACATCCATCCATGATGTGGGAACCCTTGCCTATTTAGCACTGCATCCAGGCGCCCATACAGTTACCCTTGCACACTTTTCACTGTATTCATGTCATACAGTGCGTCGTTTCCAGGGAACGCCCCAGCATATACACGATGTATTAAATGATTCATATCATGATTATTCTACAATTTTTATGCTGGTTATCTAATATCTAACGCAACCCTCTACTTTTCTCATTCAGAACTTGGGACTTGGCAATGACTGTGTTGGTCCTGAACTGCACAATGATTAATAAAAAATCACATTGTAATTTTGGTATTTGGTGAGTTTATGATTGACATAGAATTTATTTCTAGGTTAAGAATGTGTAGCACATTGTTTAGAGTGAATTCATGGGAAATAAGAATATTCTCTTGAACTACTAGGGGTGTCAATTTCAGGTCACGGGTCGGGTTCGGGTCGAACCCGAAACTGACCTGGCACTATTCGGTTCAACCCGAACCCGACCCATTTTTAAAAATGGGTCAGTTTTCCGGACCCGAACCCGACCCGCTTCGGGTCCGGGTCAACCCGACACGACCTGAATGACCCGTTTCCAACAAAAAATGGCTAATTTTCAGGTCAAAAAACGGGTCAATCTCCTCTTTTCGAGTAAAAAATGGGTCAATCTCGGGTTGTCGGGTTAAAATCGGGTTTTCGGGTTAAAATCGGGTTTTCGGGTCAAAATCGGGTCAATTTCGGGTCAAAGGGTTAACCCGAACCCGACTTGCGAAATGCTGAATCCGAACCCGACCCGTTTCGGGTTCGGGTTGACCCTAACCCGAAATTTTTGGGTCGGGTTCAGGTCGGGTTTTCGGGTCGTGTCAAATATTGACACCCCTATGAACTACAATAGTGGTTAGGAAGCCATTGAACAACTAATTTTTTTTTTCTATTGTTATGATACAATTTGTAGGCTTGGAAAACATTGAGAAGATTTGTCATGTGATTGGTGACTCTTGAATTTGTTATCCAAGTCTAGGGTTGGAAAACATTGAGAAGATTTGTCATGTGATTGGTGGCTCTCAATTTTGTTATCCAAGTCTAGAGGAATTTTTTGAGGCATTATAAGTATAAGAGTTAGAATTTATATCATTTTAAGCCAGTGAGCATGACTTGGAAGTTTTTTGAGAAAATTAAGGAAATTCCATAGCTTGTTAATTTCTTTTGAGTTGAGCCCTTCTAGTTTAATGAGATAAACATACACCCTTATTGGCCTTCTTTGTTTCCACAATAGCCTTAAGAGTCTTCCGTAGAGTTTCATTATTTCTTTTCGGTATGCTACTTTTTCTTATAGTAATTGCACCACATGTTTCTTTTGGGAGAATGTTTTCATCTTTCCTTTTGGCATGATTTAGTGTTAACAAGTCACTTACCTTGCGATTTCTGCAGTTTTCATGGTTGATGTTTTAGTGTTCAGAGTGTCGAGCATTATCATCATTTTGTATTATTCAGTTCTTATAAGTGAGAAGGCCACGTTCTATAAATTGCTTGAGAACCACAACATCATCGCCATATTTTGTTTTGAGATTTTGATAGTAATCTAGTTTTAGGCAATAAATCTTTATTGCATTGAGATACATGATAGAGACATTCTTTCTCTTGGTTGTTGAAAGCTTTTTCTTGATCTCATTGATGAGTGTAACATTTTTAACTCTTCAATAAGTCTACTTGACAGCTTTTCAAATATCTTTTGCAGTTGTTAGAAACCTATGGTCCACTGATTTCAGTTGTCATGGTGTTCTATAATCATGACATAACCATATAACCTACTTCATCCAAAAGTGTAAACTTTGGTTCGTTTAGATCCCAAGGGGGTTAATAAGATGACTAATTTTTCCCTCCTTTTAAAAAAGTCTTCACAATTCAATAAACTTCATGGGGTTTCTTCTATTCAAATGATACGAGATTTGTAGTCCTTATAATTTCTTTTTGTCTGATTTTACCATTCAGGATTGTAGACTCTTTGAAAGGTTAGTTGAAAAAATCAGTTATGATGAGGAAACTAAGAATGAAAGAGAGGCAAAATAGATGTTGGAAAGAGGACCTTAACCTTGCACTGATATCATATAGAAAATAAAAAGTAGCTAGAAAGTTTGAATTGTTTATTCTTGTTATGGGCATTTATAAACAAAAGATGCCTATAGTAATTAGGAAATTATATAATTCATAAGGAGAGAAATGATTATATTAAATAGCCACTGAATCTACATAATAAAATATGTATACATACATTCTATTATAACAACAACAACATCAAGCCTTTATCCCATTACGTGGGGTCGGCTACATGAATCCTTTTTCTCCATTGTGTCCTATTAAAAGTCAAATTCTCGTTTAAATCTTATAAAGAAAGGTCATTCCTAATATTTTCTAATTAAGTCTTTTTAGGTCTACCCCTACCTTTCTTAACATAAGTCAAATCTAATACCTCTACTCTCCTAACCGGGTCATCGGAAGGCCGCCTTTTTATGTGACCAAACCATCTAAGGCGACTCTCTCTAATCTTATCTTCTACTGGAGCTACTCCAACCTTTTCATGTATATGCTCATTTCGTATCCTATCTCTAAGGGTAAAGCCACTCATCCACCTGAGCATCCTCATCTCTGCCACACTTAACTTAGTATTATGCTTCTCTTTTAATGGCCAACATTCGGCACCATAAAGAGAATGTATTCTAGCACTAAATACTCTTCCAAGTCATTAATCAGTGGGAGCCGACATTCCTATTTGTTTCCGCTACAGTTGATTTTTTTTTTTCTAGCAAGTCATTAGTCCGTGGTATTTTGTATCCTCAACAATTAGATTTGGAGTTTGCAATTAACACATGAATTCATCTTTTTATTTATTGTAAATCAAAAGTACAAGAAATCCAACTCATATAATTATTTGACAATCAATTAAGCCTGAGAAATCAGCAGGAAATTGAAAACCACTATAAATTTAATTGAAGTTAAATCTACACAAAAGAAATCGCAGCCCTCTACAATACTCCCTTCTTTGAATATATCAAGCTACTGCAGGAATCTTCCAACCCATGAGCTCTAGAGATGGACGACCATAGCAACCAACTAAGAAGCTATTGCAACTTGCTGCCATCGTATTAAAATTTCTGGCCATGTTATTTACCACCTAATCAACAGGGAACCCATAATGAATCAAACGAAGACATTAGGATAATAGAGAATAGATCTCATTCTCGTATGTCACATCAGCACATTTAAATTAAGTTAAAATTATAGAGTAAAATAACTATGAAACAATGAAACTGAACTATACTTTTTTGGATTGTTTATTTGCTCGATGCTGAAATGAAATATCCATATGCTCTATTTTCTTAAATAAAATCATTTTTGTATGAATTACATCCAAACTGATTATTCAACGTGCAATTGTGGGGTCAGTAATATTTCTTTTCACTTAATTCTACCAAACAAAACACAAACCTAGACATGTAGTGACAACTGCAAAGAGAGATTGGCCTTTGGTGTAATTATCTATATGACTAATTAAAATCATCTTAAGGTTGTAAGAGCTTGATGTTTGTGTATGTTTAGAAAGCTCATTCATGATTTTAATGTATGTTCTATGTTAGGTTATGATAGCTGCTTTATGTTTTAATCAGACATTTTTTTAAAGTGTTTACCTTGATTTGTATTGGCTAATCTTTTTGTTCTTTATTCCTTTTAATTTTGGAAGTGTGTATTGGTACTCTTGAGATTCTGTATTACATACTTCTCACTTTGTTAATAATTTCTATGTGAAATTTTCACTCTCCCGAATTGTTCCTGCAGGTCACGTTTTTAGAAATTATTTTGTTCAGATTGCTTGCAGTATAGTAACTAGTTTTTTGTAGTCTGAAGTTATATTCGACGTTAGGGGATATACTTCTTATGGTTTGCAAGTAAACTATACTTGAACAAGCAGTGTGTTTCATCCTGGGCAGTGCATCTTACATGACAATTTTTTTGCAATTATAGCAAAATGGATTGCAATAAAGAGGAGGCTACCAGAGCAAAGGAAATTGCTGAAAACAAGATGCATAGCAGGGATTTTGTTGGTGCAAAAAAACTTCTGCTTAAAGCTTTGCATCTTTCACCAGATATTGAAAATGCATCTCACATGCTTACTGTTTGTGAAGTGCATTGCTCTGCCGGAAGTTTGGTTAATGGTCAGACAGATCATTATGGAGTTCTTCAGGTAGAGGTATCAGCTGATGAGGCATTGATTAAGAAGCAGTACCGCAGGCTTGCTCTTCTGCTTCATCCTGACAAGAACAAATTTGCAGGTGCTGAAGCTGCCTTTAAGCTGGTTGGCGAAGCATATAAGGTATTGTCTGATCAAGCAAACCGACAAGTTTATGATTCAAGAAGAAGAGTGCAAATGAGGGTTGCAACTTCATGGCAGCCTTCTCAGAATTCTAGAAATGCCAGAAGGTATACTGCTCCTACAATCAATGTTTCAAAAAATCAATTTGGCGGATTAAAACAGCAGGATCAGCATCCACCATCGTCATTCTTTGCTTCACAATGCTTTTGGACAATGTGTGTTTTCTGTAACAATAGATTCCAATATTCTCGCTCTTGGTTAAACAGAGAGGTCCAATGTCAAAAATGCTTCAAGAAATTTTTTGCATTTGAGGTGAGTCCTCAAAATGTTCCACCACCTGGATCAAGTTCTGGGTTCAACTGGAGCCACACCAGTTCATATGAGACGGCTGTTCCTGCTCAGCACTCTTATAATCATGGGAGCCAAACTAATGCATCACAACCTTCAAAACCTGTATCTGCTAATAAGCATGAATATGGCTCTGGAAACAAGGAGGAAAGAGCTAATCAGAAATCTGTAAATACCAAAATGGAGAGTAAGCCTTCATCAAAGCCTTTATCTGGTAATTCACGCAGGATGAGAAATAGAAAGGTGGAAGTAAACTCTACTGATTCAGATTCTTCTGCTGAAACTGAGTCCATTGATAGTATTTCGGAGGTAGATCCAACCGTCCTTGATGGTGGGTCAACTAGCGGTAGGTATCCACGAAGGTCAACACGATCCAAAACTAACATCACTTATAAAGAAGATGAAAGTGAAGATGATGATATTGTGTCTCATTCTAAAAAATTAAGAAAGGTTGGTTCATTCGGCATTAAGAACAAGGACACCTCTTCTCCGGTAGTAACGAATGGTGTGAAGATGAAAACTAGTGAGACTCCTATTCCTGAAGATGGGATCAAGAGGGAGCTGACAGACGACGATCCTTACAAAGATAATTTACCAGGAGTGAGTTTTCAAGAGAGAGGAATGATGCCTGAAAGCAAGGAAACAGTTTGTAAGAAAAATGAAAAACAAGTTAGAGCAAGTTCAACAACTTCTGCTGTTGGTTCAAGGTCTAGAAAGCCACAAGCTGTATCTTCTTTCTCTTACCCAGACCCAGAATTTTTTGACTTTAACAAAGAGAGGCATAAAAGTAGATTTGCTAAGAATCAGGTCTGGGCAGTTTATGACGATGATGATGGAATGCCTCGGTTTTATGCACTGATTCAGAAACCTTTTGGTCCAGGCTCCAGACTGCAGTACATCTGGTTAGAGTACAATCCTACAAGTGCAGCTGAGAATGCTTGGGTTGCAGCTGAACTGCCGATTGCTTGTGGTAGTTTCACTCATGGAAAGCTCTGTAATACAAAAAACCAGCAAATGTTCTCTCATCTGGTTTTTCCAGAGGTAAGTATAAAATATATATATAGTTTCTATCCAAAGAAGGGTGAGGTTTGGGCCCTTTTCAAGGAGTGGGATATAGGATGGAGTTCTGCCGTGGAAAGACCCAGGAATTATGCATATGAAATTGTTCAAGTTGTTTCAGATTTTGCATATGGTACAGGCATTACTGTCTGTCATCTGGCTAAGGTTAAAGGATTTCGATATGTGTTTGCTCCAGTTCATGATGAGGGAAACACTGTGATACCATCTGGGCAATTGCTTAAATTCTCTCACCGTATACCTTGTTATAGAATCCGTGAAGAAAGAGAAGGAATTCCAATAGATTCTTTCGAGCTTGATCCAGCTGCTTTACCTGAGAGCTTTGTGAAGATCACGGACACAGTTAGTGTTGATAATGTTGAAGTTTTGGATGCCAAGTTCGTTGATCCTGCGACTGTTGAAGATAAACTTGCAGGCACTGCAGTTAACAACAATGGCTCGAGGCATAGGCAGAGTGTCTTTGAAACAGGTAGCAAAACTACCAGAGGCCAAGTTAGTGGAAATTCAGGTGATATTCTTGATAAATCAAATCAAACAAGAGAACGGCCTGTGGATTCAGAAGCACGTTACGATGCTGAAAATAGAAGAGGTGAAGCTATTGGACATGACAAACAGGGTCCTGCTAATGGAGGTGCAGAAAGTAATGACGATGATGAAGATTTTAGCTTTAATGAAGAAGAGTGTACCAATGAAGAAGAACGTTCCAAGTCAAGTTTTTACAACTTTCAGGATGTGAGAGCAGAGGAAAATTTTGAACCGGGTCAGATTTGGGCACTTTATAGTGATATAGATGAATATCCCAAGTACTATGCTTGGATTAAAAAAGTTGAATGGGAAGAGGCTGGCTTTGTTAGTATCAAGTGGCTGGAACACGCACCTGAGACAGAAGAGGAGAAAATCTGGGCAAAGAATGGCCTTCCTTTTGGCTGTGGGAGATTCAAAATTGTTTCGGGCATCGATCAATTCGATACAACCGATGCATTCTCGCATATGGTGCATGCAAAACCAATCAAGAAAAATGATTTGTATGAGATATATCCAAACAATGGTGAGATTTGGGCTTTATACAAGAACTGGAGCCCTTTGTGGACCTCTGAAAATATAGGAAATGCTGCCGATTACTTTCTTGTAGAGATCATCGAACGGAATGAATCTGTGATAAAAGCAGTGACCTTAACTAAGGTCAAAGGTTATAATTATGTTTTTATGCCTGAAAAAAGAGGCGTAGCTGACGTTGAGATATCCATCAAAGAACGCATGAGATTTTCTCATCTGATTCCTGCGTTTCGATTAACTATTCAAGAATCTGGGAAGCTAGAAGGTTATTGGGAGCTTGATCCTGACTCAGTTCCAAAGATCTTATTGACCATGGACTCTTAAGTTTCATTTTACGCCCTGTACTAATTAGGTGCAGAACTAGAGTATGAAGAAGATGCCTAGGCTTTTTTCATTTTTTTTGTTTTGGCCAGTGGGATCTTGATAAATTCAGCTTCTTGTTCTCACGGTTACAAGCTTCTTGCATATTTCTGGCATCTTTTGCACCAGTTTTGAATCTGGAATCATCTTCCTGGCATTTCTGCTTCATATATGATGATTTCTGGAGGTATGGCGGTTTCGCACTTATAAAAGTCTAATAGTTGCAATGTAAATTATTATTAAATACTAAAACCATCAGCCTGTGCTATCAATTCTGAAAATTTTTATGTGTATGTATGCTGTAGGTCTACCTTTTTAGGTTCCTTTTCTGATTCTGGTTGCTGCTGTAATCTTCTGGTCAAGGTAGAGCAGAACTTACTGTATCTTGGGCAACTTGACTCAGTTTTCAAAGCCTCCTGCTTTGTTTTCTCTTTTTTCTTTTTATAAATATTTGCTCGTACAGGTTAGTAATTGCTAGAAAATCGCGTTTAAAAAAGCTCCGTAGTCCTAAGGAATGCGCACTTGGCTTTTTAGTTACTGAAGTTCTGTTTTCCTGTGCTGCAAGTTTCACCATCCACTGTTGAAGCTTTTTTCCTTGCTCTTACATAACTTATTTTGATTTTTTTTTTTCATTTATGTGGTGATTTCTGTGATTCAAGCAAGAAAATTTACAACAGCTTATGGTCCATTATATATGTTTTATTATCCTCATCAGGATATTCTCAATGATTTTTTTTTTTTTTTAATTTGTATTGAGCTAATGTGACCTGCCAGCCAAATTTGCTCTTTACCATGTCAGATTTCAGCATTCTTACATTTGAATAAGGCTTCGTTTGGGAAGACTTTCTCTTACTGCTTTATAAAGTTCTTTTTTATAAAAATTTATTAAAAGCAGGAAAAAAATAGTGGTCTAATGTTGTCCCAAATGAAACTTAAGTTTATATTTTATTGAAAATGTTCATATTCTTTGATGTTAGTAAGCTTAAATCAATTGGTCTCGTGGCATTTCTACTGTCATTGCAATGGTACAATTATACTTATTGCTACTCTCTCTCTCTCTGTCTCTCTCTTCATTGATCTATCTTGATTTTTCTAAAGAAGGATCTCTCTTTGGTGGTAGATAGTGTTGGTTAAAAAACAATTAAAGAAATAAGAAGATTTTTTGTTCTTATCTATTTAGTGGTGGGATTTTTTTAATACTTCAGAAACTATTATGTTACTAATATTTTATTCAGGTTTCTTAATCTTAGGCCTATCCATTTATCCACTTATCCTAATTGGACCAAAGCTCATTGGTGAATAAATGTATCCTTTTGTCGTGTTTTTTGTTCTTGATTCTGATATATTCCTATAAGTAAATTATTTAAACAAATTAAGAAAGTAGCGTTACAGCTCATTGTCCATTTAATGAAAAAAATAAAGTTAGATTAGGATATTTGTATCAAATTTACTCATAAGCATTTAAATTCATTAGATTTAGGTAGGGGTGTCAATTTTTGACCCGACCCGAAACCCGACTCAAACCCGACCCGGAAAAATTCGGGTCGGGTTTGGATTGACCCGGGAACCCGAAAATGACTTGGAAAAGGACCTTTCCCGGCTGCCTGTGTCGATTGCCTGGTTGTCCGACGCGTCAAGTTGCGCCTTCGTGGTTCGTGTGCCAGCGCGGTAGAAGCGCAGAGCCCGCTTCGGCTTCGTCGCTAGTATGCCAGCTCCCCGCGCCCGCTTGGGGTTTGATCGTTCGGTTTTAGTCGCGACGCGTGCCGAGTGTCGACTGGTCGCTGGTCGTAGTGTCGTCTGGTCCGCCGCTGCGAGCCTGCTACCGTCGCACCGCCTCGTCTGCTGTCATTGCCGGCGACCACTTCCATTTTAAATAACCGGGTCGGGTCATGTCAACCCGGCAAATCGCACATGTCGGGTCTGGATTGAGATAGCCAACCCATTTACAAAAACGGATTGGTTCAGGTTGACCCGTTTAGAATCGGGTCAACTCGGGTTCGATCCGAACCCGATCCGTCGACCCGAATTGACACCCCTAGCAATGGATGTACAACAGGAAAGGGGAAGGAGTCAGTAGGGAAATAGGTGAAAAGGTTGACGGTTCTTTTTGGTGTATATACTTTTTTGGTGTGCATAGAGGTTAAAATGGAAGCTGCACAAAGTAAGAAGCAATAAGAAAGCCGTTTCAAATGAAGTCTTAGATTTTGTTTTATATTGGTATTCTTTTAAAAAAAATTATTTATATAGGTCAAGTGTATTAAAATTATTATTAATTATTTAAAAAAATATTTTGTTATTATTATTATTTATTTTCCATCTCTTATGATTTTAATCCAACAATCATTATCCTACCTTTTCTACCCTTATGTTTATGAATCTAGAGAATGAGATTAAAGAAGCTATTACCCAAAGCTTGAATACAATAGTGTGTTGGTGTCATTTAAATTTATGAAGAAAAAAAAACTTAAATTAATGAAAATTCTAACAACAATATTAAATAAGATTGTTATGTGTGAAATATGATTTGTGTTAATCAATTAGATTGTTATGCTTGCTTGGACCTCAAGTTTATCATATTTGTTGGGGGGTTTACTCTTTGCTTGGGTTCGGGTGCTATGTACGTGAACACTGTATCGCCCCAAGTTGGCGTCATAGTGCCCCAAATAGACTGAACAATTTTATTTCTCGTTTTTCTGAAGGATTGCGTCCCTTGGTGAACATAACTGACTTTTCTCTTGTATCTTTATTTAGTGTAAGAGCAAGATTGGTGTATGTGAGAAGAGAATTAAGGAGAGAGCGAGAGAGAAGAGATATGTATTTTTTTCTCCTAATTTTTATAGTGAATTTTTTAGTGTGGTATGGTTCCGTGATTTTTTTTCCTAATTAAATTTTTTCCATCTTAAATATTGGTGTTCTTTATTTTCCCACATCTTTTACTTTTTTGTTTGTTTGGTCATTGTGATGTTTACTCATCCCCAACAACAAAATCTCTATAAAATTTGAAATTTTGGAGAAATATAATTAAAGTTTCAGTTGTGATGGCTTTTTTGTTATTTTTTAAAATAATTTTTTTAGATTTTTGTGTTAGAAAATTGCTTCAATAAATAATAAAAAAAGTTGTCCCAAACAAAACTTAAATTTGCAAATATTCTAAAATGTTGAAGGATAAACATTTTCGAAATATATAGCAAACATGAAGTGTAGTTTAAAACTGTGAATTACTAAGAATAGAGATCAAAGATTAAAAAGTTCAACATAAATATTAGTGCTGACATAAAGAGTCAAATTTTAGGTTGACGGTATGCTTCAATCTTATAGGCGATGACATGCGTCTATGTTATTGGGGGCGGCATGCAACAAAGCTGGCTTGCCTTAGAGTAGTTTATTAACATCTAACAAATGATTGTGATAACATGTTAAAGGTTGTGAGATCATAGTTGGGCAAATTTTGTTAAGGAGACTGTAGTTGGGTATTGGTGATCAAAGGGTTATAGTCGGACAATAATGCATATAGGATCATAGTTGAATGATGATAGTCGGAGAATCATAGTCAAATGATGGTGTTCAAAAGGCCATAATTAAGCAATGATGATATGAGGACTACAATTATGCAAATGATGGTCAGATAATTAAAGTCAAGTGATGGTGATTGATAGATAATTAAAGTCAAGTGATGGTGATTGATAGGTCATAGTCAAACAACAATATTTGAAGGAAGTTAGGAGAATCATAGTCAGTTGATAAGTTGATAATGGTCGGAGGAACGTAGTTAGATATGATCAGGTAATAGTGGATGAAGAACCTTAATTGAGTGATGATAGTTGGAGGATTGTGGTCTAGCAATGGTGGTTGAATGATCATAATCGAGTGATAGTGATGGTCGAGCAACAGTTTGATAGAGCTATGAGATTTTTTAAGAATCTGAGCTCTCCTGAATCTTAAGCTAAGTAAGAGACTTATCCACTTAGTCATAGACTATTCTTTACACATTCAAGTTCCTTAATGATGTCGAAATCAAGTTGTCTTAGACTTATTTGATTTATTTCATTAAGATCTTGATTTGATTATAAACATGTGAAATTTAAAGATCATTTGACTGTCTAATTAATATCCCAAAAATTTTAATTATGCTTCAAATACTTGATCCAAACTCATTTGAACTTAAATTGGATGTAATTTTTGGAACAAATGGCTCTTGCAGCGTGATTGTGCGACAAGTGACGCGACCTTGTTGCGATGGTCCTTTGTTTGCACTTTATTTTGCCGTTTCCGTTTTGAATCGCCGAAAACCGTTACAGATATGTGTCTGTTAACACAACTTCTCTAAACTTTGTTTACGTACAACGGCGTATTTCTGCCGATGTGAAAAGACGGAAGGTTGCGGCTTTAGGCTTAGGCTTCGTTTGGTTTTTTGGTACTTTTGTAAAAGACAGTTTTAAGAAACATTGATTCAGAGAATGAAGTTTACTAACTGAGAAGTATATATAAAAAACTTTTTCAAAACAGTAGAAAAATAAAATAAAAGAAATTATTAGAAACTTATTTAACAAATCAAACATTAAAGAATAAATGAATTTGTTGTTTTAAAGCTGAATAAGCACAAAAAAAACTTCCTATCACCACGTTCGCACGTCCATCGGCCCATCCCCGAGCGAACTCTTCGAGCGCCTCGTCCGACTCCATTTCTCCTTCACGATTTCCACTCCTCTCTCTCGTCGAGCACAGCCTTTATTCCCGCTCATCTGGCTATCGCCGAACACAGCAGCCGGTCATCTCCCTCTCGGCGAACACAGCAGGCCCTAATCTCCCTCTTGGTCTCGACAAACGCAACTCATCCATCTTCCTCTTACCGAAACAATCAACCCAACAGTCCAAGGTAAACTTTCGCTTTCTCCATTCCAATCTTGCCATCGACAAGGCTGTTTGGCAAAACAAGTAGGATTTCCTAGGGTTTGCTTCGGCTTCGCGTGCTTCTTCGCTGCTTCCGCTTCGCACGCAGCGCGGGAACTAGAGTTTCGAAAGAGTCGCTAAAGAAGCTTCGACGACGTTCCTCCTGTCGGAAGTCAGGACGGGAGCTCGCTGCGCAGTAACCATCTTTCTCCCCTTTTGAGCGCTTCTTCGTCAAGTTCGTCAATTCTATGATTTCGCGGATTTGTAACGGCGGATTTATCTCGCCGTGGGATTTGCGGGATTTTCACATCCGGTTTGCAAGGATTTATGCTAAATCCTGCATAAATCTGGTTCTGCCAGGATTAAAGTTGTCTTTTTTACTTTTTGGCCTGCTCAATGCCTGCTATTAACAGTCCCCGGGCTTTTAATCCTGTTAGGAATCAATAGGAAGACAGCCAAGCCAATTCAGATCAACCAAGAGAAACGATGGAGGTCAGAACTCGCGCTCCTGGAAAGATCATCCTCTCCGGCGAGCACGCCGTTGTTCATGGATCCACGGCCATTGCTGCCGCCATCGATCTATACACCCACGTCCTTTTCCGGCTGCCCGCACCGTCAGGTACGTTTTTTGTCATATCCTCTTCTAGTGTTTTTCTATTCTAGAGCAAGGTTGTCCAGATGATTTTGGTCTCAATATAATCTCATTCTGTCCATTTGAAAAAAAAAAAACCAGTTCAACAATACTGGACTCCAGTATCATCAGAATTGCAACTTGTACAATTTAGAATGTATATGCAGCAGACAAAAGAGCAGAAAGATGTTGGTTTTTTCTTTTATCTTTACTCTGATTTGTGGAGGTCTTAGAATGGGTTACAACTGATTTCCCTAAAACTATTATTAAAAGCATAAAAAATTCCCTTTACAGAAGTATTTCTTTGATGATGATCAAACAATTTCAATCTGATCTCACTTTCTCCTTCAGAAAGTTGAGCAAGAGGAGAAGAGTGGCATAAATTTTAAAAAAAAAACACCTAGATTATATTTTTGGGCAACTTTTTTGAAACTATGAGAAATGCTTATCCTTTAAATAGTGATAATGCAATCTTAGTCGATATTTATGGTATTCATTGACAATTTGAGGACATGATTCTGGACAATATGGCTGGTTTTTCAAATTAAAAATCAAGGGAAAGGTGAGCTGCCTTAAAAGTGTTAGAAAGTCCTAAATGTTCAACTTCTTTGAACAAGTTTATTAAAAATGCATATTTTTAGGCATAGGAGTATAATTCTGAGATACTCTAATTCATGCTTGGGATACATAGCTGGTATAATTACATAAGATGATCTGTTAAAATTATTGTTTTTCTAGTTATTTATGTATGTATGGATTTTCAATTATTTAAAGTTATCTTTTTTATATTTATCATAATTTTTGAAGCAAAACTTTATCATTATAAATTAATAAGTTACCAAAGTTCATCATTTTTTCCAGAGAACCATGAATCAATTGAACTTGAGCTCAAAGATATGGGTCTAGTGTTTTCTTGGCCCTCTCGAAGATTAGAAGAAGCATTTACTGCAATTGATATTATTCCTTCAACCCTAGAAACATGTTCCCCGGATTGTTTGAAGTTAATTGCTAGTCTAGTTGAGGAGAAGAACATTCCTGAAGATAAGATTTGGCTCTCTTCCGGAATTTGTGCTTTTCTCTATTTATACATCTCAGTCCATAGGTATGTATATTTTTTAAGCTTTTTTTCATTCAATTCTTTGATCGATTTTATGCACCCTAAATTATGGGAACTTTTTCTCTTTAAAGGTTCAAGCCTGCAATGGTGGCTATTACTTCTGAGCTTCCTTTGGGTTCTGGCTTGGGATCATCAGCCTCATTTTGTGTCTCACTTGCAGCAGCTTTTCTATCACTCACCGAAGTAATTTCTATTGCTGATGAGAAAAATGGTTGGTTAACCTTAAACAAGAGTAATCTTGAGATAGTGAACAAGTTGGCATTTGAAGGTGAGAGGATTATACATGGGAAGCCATCTGGTATTGACAACACCATAAGCACGTTTGGTATGTTTCCTTGAGCACGTTCAAGTTTGTTTCTTTTATTTCTAAGTTTTTCTGCAAGCTTCTGATGCGTCTTGGAAGTAAAAACTGCAAGCGAACAAGTAGAAAACTGCAAGAACTTGAAGATAAAGACTGATATTTTTTATTAATACTTCGATAATAATGGAAGATACAAATGATCTACTCTTCGAAAGGTAGATCAGTTCTCTTACAAATCCTAGACTTGGATAAGGGGGGCCGAACCCCCCTCTTGCTCTGTTGGCTCCTGCCCAGACTTGGCTGGATCGGTTCTTTTGAACTGGGCTGGCGACTCCCGTCTCCATGCTCACCACACGGAACTGCTTCTTTATGTTTTTGAAGGAAACTCATAGTCATATTGTTAGCTTTATCATTGTTTGTTTTTAGTAGGATATCCATTTTTTGTAACAACTCTCTTGCAGGGATTTTTGGTAAACGTTTCAGACTTCTTTTATGTTCTCCTTCAAAATTGATTAGCAGGACTTCATTTCTGCAAGTTTGAGTTGCTTTATATCTTCGGAATCTTTCCGAAGGAAGTTATAGTTTTGAATTAATGTGAATACATTCGCTTTACAGGAAGATTAATCATGTTCAAATCCGGTGAATTAATTCAAATAGAATCTACCATACCTCTAAGAATGCTTATAACCAATACGAAGGTTGGGAGGAACACCAAAGCGTTAGTTTCTGGTGTTTCAGAAAGAGTTTTTCGGCATCCGGGTGCTATGCATGCAGTTTTTACAGCTATTGATTTTATAAGCAAAGAATTAGCTAGCACAATTGAAACACCTGCAACTAGTGACATCTCTATCACAGGGAGGGAAAACAAGATAGAAGAACTCATGGAGATGAATCAAGGTTTACTTCAATGCATGGGAGTTAGCCATGATTCGATCGGAACCGTGTTGCGAGCAACTGCTAAGTATAAGTTGGCTTCAAAACTCACCGGTGCTGGCGGTGGAGGTTGTGTCCTGACTTTGCTACCAACATGTATCCTAAAATGGGTAATGCTGTTACTTTGATTTGACTATTTCTTTTTGCATGTCCTATTACTTATTTTTAACTTAGGTTTTATTTGGGATGACTTTCTTACTGCTTCTTAAAATAACTTTCTAGTATAAAATTTTAATTTTTAAACAAAAAAACTGTTCTAGGAAGCAATAAAAAAGTTTTCCGAAACGAATCCGTACTCTCTTGTCAAAATAATTATGCTGCTGGCTAATACAGTCTTATATATTGTACCTTCTATCAGTCTAGTTGACCTCTTTATTAGTCTCATATGTTTTTGATAGGAAGTATTTGAGTTCACAATAACCCTAACGGAAAATACTTGAGTTTGCAAGCAACTCTAATAAGAATTGGTGAAAACAGCGAGAAAAAATTGATCCTCAATTCAAGAGGAGGATTATTCTCTCTCAATCTCTTGATGATGAATCTAGAGCCCAAAGCCACTAAGAGAACTCCAAGAGAAAAAATATCAAAACATCAACCCTAACCCTACCTTCTCATGCTTTTAAATTCCTCACTTCCTACAACAACAACAACAACATCAAGCCTTTATCCCACTACGTGGGGTCGGCTACATGAATCCTTTTTCTCCATTGTGTCCTATTAAAAGTTAAATTCTCGTTTAAATCTAATAAAGAAAGGTCATTCCTAATATTTTCTAACCATGTCTTTTTAGGTCTACCCCTACCTTTCTTAACATAAGTCAAATCTAATACCTCTACTCTCCTAACCGGGTCATCGGAAGGCCGCCGTTTTATGTGACCAAACCATCTAAGGCGACTCTCTCTAATCTTATCTTCTACTGGAGCTACTCCAACCTTTTCACGTATATGCTCATTCGTATCCTATCTCTAAGGGTAAAGCCACTCATCCACCTGAGCATCCTCATCTCTGCCACACTTAACTTAGTATTATGCTTCTCTTTTAATGGCCAACATTCGGCACCATAAAGCATTGCAGGCCTCACTACCATCTTATAAAATTTTCCCTTAAGTTTGAGGGGTACATTTCTATCACATAACAAGCCCGATGCATTCCGCCACTTCAACCATCCAACTTGAATTCTACTGATAATATCCCCATCTATTTCACCATCACTCTGAACAATAGATCCAAGATATTTAAAACGTGTACTCTTATTAATGACTTGATCGCCCAAAGTCACAATCCCCTCACTAGGACTATTACTGCTAAAATTACACTCCATATATTCCATTTTAGATCTACTCAAGCGAAAACCTTTAGACTCTAAGGTTGACCTCCATAATTCAAGTTTACCTTCAACTCCCTCTCTAGTCTTATCAACAAGAAGAATATCATCAGCAAAAAGCATAAACCAAGGTACATCCTCTTGCAAATGTCTAGTGAGAACATCCATGACTAAAGCAAAAAGATATGGGCTTAAGGCTGATCCTTGATGTAACCCAACCGAAATAGGGAAATACTTGGACAATCCACCTTGTGTTTGAACACAAGTAATAGCTCCTGCATACATATCTTTAATGATTTGAATATAAGCATTATTGACTCCTTTATTTTGATTTAGAAAAAGCATATGATAAAGTTCCAAGAGAAGTGCTATGGAGAGTTCTAATATAAAATAAATTTAAATTAGCCTCCTCATGCATAAACCTCTCTCTCTCTCTCTCTAATTGTCAACCAAAGGGGGGGCCACTTGCTTAGGCGGTGGTCCCTAAAGGAGGCGGCTTACCGCCTCCTATATGTCTGAACCAGCCCCTCCTGGGCCGATTTGGGCTGTACCATAACAGTTTTTAAAAGCAAAGAAAGGCTTCTTGATAATTTTCCTTTGACTATGTTAATATAGCAAAGGTTGATTTGTGCTTTAGTTATGAAGATCTTAAATTTCTGCAAAACTTTGACCTACAATAAGTTTTTTGGTTATACTATTTCTTGCTGGTAGGAAACTAAATGTCTATTTCATTTTCTCTCCCAATGCCATATTAGTGGTATTAAATAGATTATCAAACATGCTTGGGATTATAATTCTTGCTTCATTCAACTAATAAATGGTGTTTTGGATAACTTTTTTATAACTTTATTTTACATATAGTCGTCATATTTTTATTTGGCTCTAATTTATTGTTAAATACTTTTATGATGTGGCCGAGATTTTAGCCATTAATGTTTTGTTTGTGACTGCTTTCTACAGTAGCTTTCTAGCACCCAAATTTCATGAAACATCGAAAAAATAATGGCAAAGAGTTGTCCCAACCGAAGCCTAAATTTGCTACAGTCATAGTTATATCAAGGCTATTAACAACTTTTTTCTTTTTTCGGGGTAAAGTTTATGAAACTTATGTGTTAGCCGAAATAGTTTCACAAATTAATTGTATCATGCCTTTTAGGTTTATGTAATCATTTATTTGATTTCTCCATTACTTTTCTGCAACAATTTTACTGTTCATCATGCCCAGCAATCATTTAGTACTTAACCAAAGTTCAGTGATATCTAGCACGGTTGTAGACAAGGTTGTTGAGGAACTTGAATCATTGGGATTCAAATGTTTCAAAGCCCAAGTGGGTGGAGAAGGCCTACAAATCTGTTATGGCTGAGGGCGTCTTCAGCCGAACTCTAAACAACTGCAAGGCGTAGCTGATTTGTAATATTCGAACGGCAAAAAAATCACTAATCGGTGGAGGGTGAACAGTGCGATGCCAATATTGACGTTGTATTGTTCACTTACACGATTTTTTTTGTCTCAATCGGATGCGCCAAAGAAACAGGTGAAAGAGGAAGACGGTTACCTATGCAGAAGCGTGCAAAATAGAGTTTGATTAGAGATGAATCACATCATTTTTTAGTTACACTGTATTTTGAAGTGAAAAATGGGATATGCCCTGACCATATCATCTGCAGCTATTGAGACTATATATATATATTTTTGAATGGTTTCATTAAGCAGTAAAGTGGTAATGTAAAAACCTTTAATTGATTCCATTATCTTTGCTTATTTATTCATGAATTATTTTCCTTGTGCGCTATTTTTTTATTAAAAAGCTGCAATTTACTACATTCTCTTTGCTTGCTTGTTCACAAACCATTACCGTTGTGTGCTACACTAATCCACAACTGTTGTTTTGAAAACTAATTTAGATACTCTGATTATAAAAAACAGTTTTTCATGAAAAGAAAATTGTAAAAATACTGAAAAAGTAATAAAAAATAATAATCAAACAAAATTATAATTATTGTTTGAAAATAAATTAGTTAAAAAGTTGTCCTAAATAGACCCTAAAATTTTAGCAAAAGCCTCTATAGGCTGCTTCCAAGCTGTGTGGCATGGCGACCATTGAGCCATTTCACCAAACACCTAAACTGCATTCTGTACTAAGCCATAATCTGACTAGAGAAAACTTCCTCATTGCACACCCAGAAGCCATTTTTTACGTCCAAAACACAGCCGAAGAACTGCACAGGTGAAGGTTTGATCTCTCACCAACACCAAGCTGACTGCTTCAGCTGCAGCAGTGGTTCCATAGGACCGCCTGTAAGCCCATTCTTCACAAAAACTGCCGCAGTGCCGGCGGAGAAACCAGAGGCGGGGCCTAGAGTCCGTAAGAGCTCCTGTAGAAAAAGGATGACGATGTTGAGACGGTCGGGGAGGAGAGGGGAAATCAGGGAACAAAGAGCGGCAGGGAAAAGGAAATGCCGAGCCTTTTAGCTTCGGAGAGGTAGAAACGGATTCGAGGAAGGTGCGGGGAGCGAGAGAGGAGCTGGGTGCCGAGGAGCGAGGAGTAAACGGCGGCGTCGGGACGAAAAGGGATGGAGGCGGTGGAAGCGGAGCACCGGAGGAAGCGGTAGAAGTTAAAGGAGAGCAGTGGATCGCCAACAGCAGAGATAAGGGAGGTAAGGGACTCCGGGGAAGTGCGAAGGGTGATTATGGCATCTGAGAGTTGAGGATTTGGGGAGTTTTCGGGAAGGGGGAAAAGCTTAAGAAGGCGGCGGACTGCTTGGCGTCCTTTGCGGGAAGGCGGATGCTTGGAAGAAGAAGAAGAAGAATAGAAGGAGGAGTGAGAAAAGGAGAATGGGGGAACATTTTGGGTAAGAAATCTCGGTCGGAATTGCAGGAGACAGTGGCGGCGGATAGACATCAATACTCCTATTAGCCGACTTTCCTTGAGAGAACCCACAATTCCTCCGCCCAAGATCTCTTTTTTATTTTTCTGTTCTGTTTAGCACCACCTATTCGCAAAATTTGGGAACCCAGACGACCGCAACTACCCCCACGTGATGTAAACAACGTCGCTTGGGCAAAGTTCATGAGGTTTATTTTGGGATGATTTTTTTAATGCTTTTTAATACAATTTTCATATAAAATTTTAAAACTCAATATTATATACAAAAGAATGAGCCCATGAATTTTTCTTAAAATAAAATATTTGTGTTATAATCTTGGATGCTAGTATGTAACATATTGATTGGATTATCCCGATGGATAGAGAGTGTCGGCTCTTTATAGATTATTGAAATGCACATGTAAATTGATTTAAGATATAAGTAATGATGATAAGATAAAAATTGATGACCAATTAAGAATCAATTTGGGTTAAGGATATTGAAAATATCACATTAAAGTTGGGTATCCTGTCTTGTTGAATAAATTTATATAATATTGATACCTATATGATATGCATACATGAAAATATATGGAGTCGGATGTACATACATTGCATAAGGATTTATTGAAATGGTAGAGATTGAACATATTTATGTGTGACTATAGCATTGATAAGATTGATTGATATACAATTGAGATATGAGACTTATGATATTAAAATTGATTGATTTATTGAATGATATATGGAATATGATTGATAGACAACTAGAATGGAATAATACTGATATGATATGTGATATGCAACTAATATGCTATAGGATATATGACTTTATATGTTATGCATTGATTTTAGTTGTAGATCATGATAACTTGTTGGGCTTTGTAGCTAATTGTGTGAGTTTTTACATATTTTCAAGTAATGGTAAGAAGCCTCATGAGTGACTTAGGCTACTAGCATTCATTTTCTTATGCATCTAGTAATAGAAAGATGTCATTCTTCTAACTTAGATTTTGTGACGTCACAAAGTGGTATCAGAGCAATGGTTTATGTTTAAATGTTTTGAGTGATGCAATTCTTCCAATTTAGATTCTAGAGCATCACAATAAGTCATTTAGGTGTTGTTTGGTTACCTATAAGGAGTTTAATGTATTTCAAATGAAGGGATTTTGAGAATATTAGTGCTTAGTTTGAAGTAAAACAACAGCAGTGTAAAATTTTGGTGCATTTGTAATTCACCATCTAGTTCTTTTTTAGTATTTTTGGAATCCTCGAGTTTGGACGAGTTTTAAATACATCAGAAAATCATTGCAATTGCCGCAACCCACCTCCTCTGCCCGACTTCACCCATTATCGCTGCCACCGCAACCACCAATGGCCATCACCACAATCAATGAAAATAGAAGGACAAGGGAAATGTAGAGGAAGCTGATCACCTTTTATGTATTTTTTATAACATAATCTAATACAAATCAACTTTTATTTTTGAAAGTAGTTGTTAATTATTATTTTTGTTTGATTACTGCTTTTAAAAAATTTGTAAGGTAGGAAATTACTTTTATCGCAGCTTAAAAATAAAAAAATTGTAGATGTTTCAAACAGTTTCTTAGACTTCGTTTGGGACGGATTTCTTATTACTTCTTAAATCAATTGTAGTACAAAAATTTAGTAAGAAAATTGTCCCAAACGAAATCTTAGTTATAATGATTGATGCAATTTGGCAAATATCAATGTTATCATTCATATGCTCTTTGGTCACCTCCCTTCAATCACTAATATCCTTTGTAATGATTGTTTTTGTAGTAGTTTGACTACATGTAGTTTGATTTGAATTTAGTAAGAAATTTCATGTTATTCAATATGTATGATAAATTTTTATGCATATTTGGAAAATTCTTTTAGGACCATTGTGGCGCTGTCATAGTGGCACTTTGGTGCTATCCTCTTTGTTGAATGGGTGATAGAAAGCTGGTGATGGGGCGATGAACACGTACTAGGCCAATATTTTATATAAATATTTAAATTCATTTCCAAAACTCATTTATCATCTCATTTACCTCACTCGGCTAGGTGAGAAGAGAAGAGAAGAGGAGAGGAAGAAGAGAGTAAATGAAGAGAGAGAAGGCAGATTCGGGGGATCCTCATGTTAGTTTCATCTGTCATACCACTTGAAAAATTTGTTCTTCTCATGATAGATTATCATTACCCTACCTCTAATTTCAATGATTTTATTCTTTTTATATTTTCTGAATTTGAATTTGATAAGAACTTGTAAATGTGATGATATCTCGATATTTAGTGAACTTTCATCATGTAACTTTTAACATGTTACAGTTCTACTCATTTTGCACGTGTTAATATGATCATATTAATTTTTTATCAAATATTTATAAGTTTTGAGGCATATTCTCTAATTTTAGTAAGATAAATAAGTTAAAAAAGTTATAAATGATTATTGCATCATGTTTAGACAAAGTGAATCACATAAATATTCATTTTGGTTCATTTGATAATATGCTAAAATTCATTGTTGTGATTACATAATATGTGAAAATTAGGCATATTGCATTACCTTGTGAATATCTTTATTTATTTGCATGTCATTTCATAGGCTAATGAAAAATGATACAATGAATTGTATATTGAGTATAGCTTTAAATGTTAATATGCTGTATATATTTTTTGCAATGTGTGTATGTAAGAAAGTTTGGTTACTACTACTGTATATGATTCAATTTGCGACGATATGAAAACTTGCAAAAGAGCTAAGATGGACTGACTAGTTTTTCTTTAAACATAAGATTAGTGGTGTGAACTCGATACATGATGAGAGATATAAAGGGATACGACATAATGCAATGTTATTCATGATGACCATGCTGACTCACCTGACATAATACTATATATAGCATTAGAACATCTAATGTGCTACACATGTATTGTGATATTTGACCCTGCATAATATTCCTCAATTGTGTAAATTATCCTTAACAATTGTAAGTTTTTTTAGATTTATTAATTATGACGTGGTTATCTTATAATTAACATATTAAGCTATTAGAATATTAAATCTTATATAATAAATAATCTTAAATAAAATAAAATCAGTCGAAGAAAATTAAATAGTCTCATTAAAACAACAGTCTTGTCAAAGAAAGTATTATGACATGCCCTATATTTCTTCTTTGTTGATGTGTTCCTCTGTCTACATGCATGTTGCGGAGTTGTCTAAGCCGTTCTGCCATTTTTGCATTGAAAATCCACCTTAGAATCATTATTATGATGAATTTCAAGGAATATGAATAAACACACTTAGGCTTATTTTCGTTTGAGACAATTTTCTAAAGCTATTTTTTAGCATAACAATTTTTAGTTCAAAAAATTTTTATACGAAATATTGATTTAAAGAATAGTGAGAAAGCTCTCTCAAAAGAAATTTTAATATAATATTTTTTCAGCCTGTTATCCACAATGTAAGTAGACATGAGAGCTTGTGCCATAGAAAATAATGATCACCCAAATCTAAATAAGACTTCATTTGTGACCGTTTTTTTGCTACTTTAAAAATCTGATTTTTTGTAAAAAAAAAATTAATTCAAGAAATTTTTGTAAAATTAGAAATTTTTTTACTTAAAAAAATTAGAAAACTGATTTATAAAGTAATAAAAAAGTAGTCCCAAACAAAGCCTATATCCCACCAAGACTTCATTATATTAGTTATAAATTTAATTTAATGTGTTATAAATTTAATTGCATGTTAAGTATAAGTTATTTATTAATTTTAATTTTAAATACTATCAGTAGGTTATAATTATATATAATTTAATTGCTAATTAAGGTAATATTTATTAAATTACTTATTTAGGTGTTAATTTAATAAGTATTTGATATCTAATTAATTAGTTAATTAATTTTTGAAATAACTAATAGTTTAACTAATACTCAAATTAGTGATTTAATTAATTTTAAATTATTAATTAATTAGTTTTAATTATTAATTATATAGTTAATTATCTCATTAATCATTTAAATATTGTATTGAAAATTAATTATTTAATTATTATTTATAATATTATATAATAACTATTTCTATTTAGAAGTATATTAATTAGATTATTTAGTTTAATTTTAATTACTAATTAGTTAATTAATCTAGGTTTCTCTTTTCCTCTTCTCCATTTCTTTGTTACTAGCTATTATGGCTTTTCCTCATCGCCATTTCTTAGTGCCTGCTTCGACTTCACGTGCTTCATGTAAAGTGAAGTTCGAAGGCTTCACATGAAGTACTATGCCGAAGAGTCGCCAAAGAAACTTCTTCACCTCCTTCGTCGATATTGGGTTGGAAATCACATGGAAGCTCGCTCGTTGCGAAGGTAACCATCTTTATCCCTTACACGCGCTTCTTTAGTAAATCCCCTAAATCCGCCAAACTACAGGATTTATTAAATTCTGGATTACGACAAAAAGAGTGGAATAGATATTTTATTCTGCTATGAGATTTAGCAGGCGCTCAAATCTCATTTAGCAGGATTTAGCATAAATCCTCTTAAATCATGTCACCATACAACCCATAAAATCGTGCTTGGTAACAAGTAGTAATTAACAGAGGTCTGACATCAGGTAGAAGTTCAGTGTTGGGTAGAAATCTGGCAACGAGCGAGGTCCAACGTCAGGTAGAAATCCGGTGATTAGTGGAGGTCCGACATCGAGTAGAAGTTTGACGTCAGTTGACGGCTGGGCAGAACTCCAGCATCAAATGGCATTCGAGCATAACTCCAGCATCACTTGAAGGTCGGGTGAATCTCTGACGTCACTTGGAGTTCGTGTGGAACTCCGACGGTGGTCGAGGAGGAGTCTCTTCCTTCTCTTCTTTATTTTCTTCTTCCTTTTCTTCTTGCTTCCTTGCTTAATTACGGCGTCGGTCGGCTGCTGGGTGAAAGTCCGGCGGTGGTCGAGGAGAAACTTCTTCATTCTCTTCATTTTCTTCCTTCTCTTCTTGCTTGGGTCCCCCTTTCAAGATAAATGATGGGTTCTATTTATAGTTTTTTGAGAGTGGTGTGACTAGTAAATAGGGGCAAGATTAGTGGTGAATTGAGAGTGGTTTGAATGGACGGCTGATGTTAAATCCCTTGATAGTGAACTATTTATCAGCCATTTGAAGACTCTAATGATTTCAAAATTCAATGATCTTTGGCTCGTTGGACTTGTCTCGTCAAGCCACTCGATTCGACTATAAGCACACCATATTTGGAAACTGTTAGGTAATCCAAATTATGGATTGAACTTTCCAAATGTGCTCGGGTATTTTATTTGGACTAATTTGGACTTGGATTGAGTCGAATTTGTTGTCGTTGGGTTCGTATTTCCGAGCGTTCAGTTCGATTGTAAGATTGTTGAAATCGGAGTTCAGATGGTCCCAAATTTAATTTTTGAAGCTTCCAACTTGTTTTTTGCCTTGAGATTCGTGCCCGATCAATATAATTTTTTTGATGATATATCAACTATAAATTACTTATTAGATTCAATTTTAATTTCCATCAACGATATATTTGATATTTAATTATAGTAATAATTTCTAATTAATTAGCTTATTATATTTTGTAATAACTAATTATACACTAATAATTTAATTACATATTTAGGTGTTATTTAGTTTATTTTAATTATAAATTGTACTATTAATCATCTCATTAATCACTTATGATATATCATCAAAAACTTATCTTGATCGGGCACGAATCTCGAGGCAAAAACAAGCCGGAAACTTCAAAAATTAAATTTGGTATCACCTGAACTCCGATTTCAGCGAACTTATAGTCATACTGAGCATCTCGGAAATACAAACCCAACGACACAAATTTGACTCAATCCGGGCCCAAAAGAGTCCAAATCAAGGACCCGAAGCAATGTTGAAAAGTTCAAACCACAATTTGAGTTACCAAGTGGTTCCGAAACATGATGTGCTTATAGTAGAATTGAGCGGCTCAACGAGTCAAATCTAACGAGCCCAAGATCGTTGAATTCCGACATCATTAAGACCTTCAAATGTCTGATAAACAGTACACGGTCAAGGGATTCAATATCGGCCATCCATCGAACCACTTCACATTTGCCCTTGATCCTCCTCCTATTTACAGGTCATGCCACTCCAGAATATCTATAAATATACTCATCATTTATCTTGAAAGGGGACCCAAGTAAGAAGAAGAAAAGGAGAAGAGAAGATAAGAATATTAAGAGGGAAGAAACTTCTCGACCACCGATGCTAGAATTCTGCCCGACGCCCAAGTGACATTGGAATTTAGCCCAAGTGACCCCAAAATTATGTCTGACGCCCAAGTGACGTCTGAATTCTGACCGACGCCCAAGTGACGTCGGAACTCTGCCCGATTTCTAAGTGACGTCGAAATTCTAAGTTACTTTGAATTCAACTCGAATACGCAACTTGTTTGTAATCGGATTTCAATCCGGAAGTGAAGCATTGTAATCTGATCGTCCTAAATTTTAAGGACAAATCAGTCTCTTGTACCTCAAACAAACACTAGTAGAATTATTTCAACTGGGCATGACCTCGTGGTTTTTTCCCTTTCCAGAATTTTTCACATAAAAATCTTGGTGTTATTATTTTTTATATGTTTGTATACTAGATATCCGTACAGCACTAGCACTGAGACGAAAATTTTCTAATTCTGTCACCATATATATTTTAGTCCGCCACAACTTAATTATTCTACTACTCATTAATCTCTTACTAGTACACACAAAAATCAGAAGGAGCTTTGATCCGAACTCCGTAATAGCCCGTGCTCGTGTGAAGGTAGCTATCTTTCTTCGGCCAAATCTAAATTCGCAAAATTTCAAAATTTACTAAGGTCCAAAGGAAGACGGAGGATTTATTCTTCCATGAGGTTAAATGGGCACTCAAATCCCGTCAAATCCTGCTCAAAATCGACATAAATCCTGTTAAATCCTGCAGGGAAACAGCTCCTAAGCGATAAGTATGATGTTGCTCCGCTTCCTGCTCTGCAGTCGATGCCGTGTTCTGCTCTGGCCGCCATCTCAGCTTCGTCGCCTTCCATCCTCCGCGTCCTCCGGAAAGTCGCCGCCGGCACCGGATCCCTCCGGCTTGCGAAGAAATCGCATGCCCGCATGGTCATTCTTGGCTTCCACCATCATCCCTTCATCTGCTCGACTCTTATCTCCGCATACTCCCTCTTCGGCTTACCCACCCTATCCTATTTAGTCTTCTTCGACTGCTCCGCCCCCAATATCTTCCTCTGGAACTCTCTTCTGGCTTCTTTCTCAAACAATTATTGCCACTGCCAAGTCCTCACAACATTCTACAACTTCCGTGCTGTTTCCAGCGACTCCCCCGACGGCTACACTCTTGCCATTGTCGCTAAGGCTTTGACGGAGCTTTTAGATTTTAGAAATGGTAGTGCCATTCATTCTCTTGTTAAAAGGCTTGGACTTGTCTCGGATACTGTGTTGTCCAACACCATAATGGTTCTGTATTTCAAATGCGGCCATCCGGATGATGCTCGGCACGTGTTCGACGAAATTCCTGTGAGGAGTGTTGCTTCATGGAACAGCTTGATATCGGAGAATGTCAATTTGGATGGCTGTAAGGAATGGGAGCTTGTAAGAGAAATGCAGTTGGAGGGATTAAAGCCGGATGGATTCACTATCTCTGCTTTGCTTCCTCTCTGTGCTAGAGGAGATTCTACTGGCTTGATGTTTGGCCGACAGATCCATGGCTACATTGTGAGGCAGGAGCTTAGATTGGGCTCAGAGCTTCATGTTGGGAGCTGCCTCATAAGCTTTTACTGTAAATGCGGGGATGTGACAATCGGAAAGCGAGTGTTTGAATGTGAGCTCAGAAGGAATGTCTTCACTTGGACTGCTATGATCTCAGGCTATGTAGAGAGTGGAGGGTTTGATGATGCTCTGAGACTATTCTACTCGATGAATTATGTTGATGGGATCATACCCAGTGAGGTCACTATTGTAACTATTCTCCCTGCGATTGGATCTCTTGCAGCTTTAGATAATGGGAAGCAAATTCATGGCTTCTCCTTCAGACATTGCTTGAATGCTGAAACTTCTGTAAGCAATGCTTTGATTGATATGTATTCAAAATGTGGGAACTTGGTTTCTGCAAGGAATGTTTTTGATGATGAATTATGGCTTAAAGATGCTATTTCATGGAGCTCTATTATCTCATGCTATGGTATTCATGGCATGGGGGAGGAAGCTCTTTTTCTGTTTAAGAGAATGTGCAGTCTTGGGATAAAACTGGACCATATAACTGGTGTGGCAGTTCTTTCGGCTTGTGGCCGTGCGGGTTTGGTGAAAGAAGGTATGGTGATTTACAGTTCAATGGTAAAAAATTATGGTGTTATTCCCAGTGATGAGATGTGTTCATGCATGGTTGATATGTTGGGCAGAGTTGGCCAACTAGAACAAGCTTTGGATTTCATCAATTCAATGCAGTTTGAACCAGGCTCTAGCATTTGGGGTGCTCTTTCTGGAGCTGCTGCCTCTCACCACAACCATGAAATTCAACATTTGGCTAGTAACTTTCTCATTGAAACTGAACCAGAGAACCCTTCTCATTATGTGTCCCTTTCGAACTTTCATGCTTCGTTTGGAAGATGGGATGTTGTTGCAGAAGTAAGGGAAAGAATGATGTTGAAAGGATTGAGAAAGACTCCTGGTATTAGTTGGATTGATGTCAATGGTAAGGTTCACTCCTTTTATGTTGCTGATAAGTCTCATTTGTGCTCAAATATGATTTATGAAGTTTTGGATAACCTTTCCTATGAAATGAAAGAAGCCACTAACTTTCATAACATAACTTCTGACTGGATATGAAGATATTTTCAAAATGCTAAGAGCATCTCCAACCGAACGGCAAACAACTGTTTTCCGTTCTTCCGTCGCTCCAACCGAGCGGCAATTCTTATGCTATTTCATCGCGGATGAACAATGCGATGCCAATATTGGTGTTGCACTGTTCATCTTCGCCATTTTTTGGTCTCTACTGAACTTGCCGAAGAAACGCGCGAAAGAAGAGAATGACCATTACGGGGCAAAATGGAGTTCGATTGGAGATGAATCACGATATTTTTTAGTTTCACAGCATTTTGGAGTGAAAAATGAAATTTTCGGTTGGAGATGCCCTAACAAAGACAGAGAAGACAAAGAAAGTTCAAATACTTTCAGCCAAATTCAATGCAAAGCACATAAAGGTAATATAATTCCTGGAAGGCTACTTCACAATAGTGTGGATTGTGTTCGACTGATTATGAAAGAATGTTGAGAACTTGGAGGATATTTTGAGTGTTAAAAAAAATATATTGTGCTCCATGATGAAGAAATTTGAAAATGTTAAGCTTTCGATTGAAAAACCAAAGGTCTTGCAATGTATATGCTCCTCCAATGCTTTATGTTAATATTATGCATGTTGAAAAATGAATAAATATTACGTTTCAAGATGAACTTATTATTGGGCAATCAAATGGAAGTCTATGAATTATTTTTATTATGCTCTATCGTCGAAATGGTTGCTTGTTGGCTATTACTAGCTTGAATGTCAGTTATGTGATTCTGGATTTGCTCTAATTTCGAATGTTATTTGGGCGTTTGCAGTTCACGTGAGTGTCCAACCGACTGACATTCTGAAAGGCATGCGTTTTGAAGTGTGATGTCAATATTGAAATTACAGTGTTCACAAACACTTTTTTTTTTTAAGATAGAGAAAGAATATACACATAATGTTCTTTTTTGTGTTAGAAATGGAGTTTGGTTGGAGATGAATTATCATAGTTGCGAACCAGCCATCACTCCCATGGACCCTAAACCGCACCTTAGTGCTAATGAAGGCAAACTACTATTAGATGCATTCCAATATAGCTGACTCTTGGTTAGATTGGTCTACCTCAACACAACTCATATGGGCATCATATTCTTGGGTGACTCATTAATAACATGGAAGGCCGGTAAGTAAAATACCATTTCTTGTTCTATTGTCGAAGCGGAATACCACACATTAACAACCACCGTCAGAGACCCGTTCGGTTTTGTGACTGTGAACAGTAAAAGCGTAGTTACTGTTCACTACTGTGCACACTTTTATTATGATTTTACAATTCAGTCATAAAACTGAACGATTCTCTGTGTCCGGACTCCGCATGTAATAATCTCACTTATTATGTCCTAATATGTCCTATGTAGAAACATCATTTTATTGAATAATGTAAGAGAGATTTTTCAATAAGAAAATAAAAGCAATTTGAGTTTTTTCTACTTCATCCTTTCAGCCCCACTCGTAAATCAGAATGAGTAGCAAAGACTAATCTCAAAAAGGAATATATCAGTAAATAAATAGTCTACCAACACAAATATTAACAATAATTAAAATGAAATGAATCTTATAGTTGAATTAGATAAAGAAAATATTCTTATTACTTCATGTTATCCACATTTTTTATTTATTTTATATATTATTTATGTGATTTAATTTTTGTGGCCCCCCATTTTCTCTATTAGGAGCTTATAAGAATAGCTTCCTGCACTATAATAATGGACTTATAGACATTGATTTCGGCTTTTTGTGAAGTCAATTATAAAATGATTGTGGGAAAAATAATCTTTTTAAAAGCAGTGGTAAAAATTAGTTTCACAGCGTGAAAATTTCATGAAATCAATCAAAAAATAGTAGCCAAATAGAAATTTTGATTACAATCTAAAAAATAAAATAATAAGAAAATTGTCCTTAATGACTGACGAAGCCTAAGAGTTCTTTTGGGATGGTTGCAACTTTTTATAAGGAGATTGTAAGATTGTTACGGAGAAAATAACTTTTTTTAAAGCATATATAGAAAGCATTCTCGTAACATAATTTTTTTTCAAAGTATTGAAAAATAAAAACTGTTGTTGCGATTAGCAGAGTTTGCTGCATTAAGTAAGCTGTTACAAACGAAGCTTAAGTTTTCATTGGGGGATATTTTTACTATCTTCTAAAGTGTCTTTTTATTGCAAAAATTTCTTAAAAATTAAATTTTCAATAAAATTTTTAATTAGAAGCCTAATCTAAATCTTCAGTTAATTTCAATCAAATTTCATAATGTTTTAAAAATATATTTCTTAATTAATTGTTATTAAATATATAAATTATAATTATATTTTAATATAAATATTTACACTTAATATTGATTAAAATGCCAACGGTGGACCTATATATATTAGCCGATTGGCGGGCGTTTTGATTCCGCCCCTCTATCGACTTCGAACTTGGAAGATTTCGTTTTATGGCGGTCTGGAATTCACCCGCTTAGATGGATACTCATATTAGTAATCCTCCAAGAAGAAAACCCCTATGCGATCTCACCAACGCTCCGACCCTTTCATTGCCGGCCACTTCATACAAATCCAAGCTCAGACCTAGATCCTCTGCCGTCACGAACTCCTCCGCCTCCTCCGATGTTCCCGATGTCTCTGCTAGCTGTAACTCCACTGCTGGTTCAATCAATCCCGCAAAACCCGTTTCTGGAAAAGTACCCGCGTCTTTTAAGAAAGGCTTGCAGATCAGTTCTAGCTCTGGTAAATTCCCATCTGCCTAATGAGCTCTTTGGTATGTTCTTCAATGAACGCGAACTAGTGTTATGGATGTAAACATTGAGTGGGGTTTTCTCTCTATGTACAACTGGTTCTTGCTTGCGATATATTAACCAGATTGTGATAGGGTTTTGTTTGCATTTTGATATGTTGATGTCAGGCGTGACAGTTTCTCTAGGTTTTTTTTTTTTTTTTTTTTTTTTTTTTTTTTTTTTTTCTGTTTTACTAGAACTTTATATGAAGTTCAATTCCTTGTTTCTTAAAATATTTTTAATAAGTGTATTGTGTGAAATAAGCTATTAATCACACTAAAAGAATTATTAGAGATTAAAGATGATTCATCGCCTGACGTAGCTAAACCTTCATTCTAAATTTCAAAAAATTATAGCACAGAGGTTAGGAAGAGTTATTATGAAAAAAAGGGAAGATACTGGTTGTGTGCTAGAATATTCACATCTGTAAATGATCGTCTTAACTTCATATGAAAATTTCACACATGCACATATAAGTAGATTGTGACTCACAAAAGCATACACTCATATAGTGCTTGGATTAGATTCAACGGACCAAGTCAGAAATATCAAATCATTGAAGTTACTAAAAACATAGTGAACTCATCAACACCTTTGAGGGCATCTCTAATCAAAAAACCCATTTTCCACTTCAAAATGCAGTCACATTCATATCAAACAATAATTCCTCCATTTTTAACACCAAAAAAGAATATTCCGTATATATTCTTTCTCCTCTATTTTTTATTAAAAAAAGTGTTTATGTGAATATTGCGACACCAATATTTCCGTCATATTGTTCTCAACGGAGAAAAAAAAAAAGCAAAAATGCGTTTATGTTTGCCGTTCGGGTGGAGATCTCAACAGCTGAAAACATGCGTTTGTCATTCGGTTGGAGATACCCTAATTCAGCTAAAAGCTGCTCAATCAACTCTACTCAATCCTAGAGCTAAATAATAGGATATATATATATACATATATATACACACACATACACACACAAGGAATGAATCGAATCAAAATAGAATCAGGATCTGAAAATCAAATTTATTTGACAAATGACAGAGTAACCATTCTTTAGTTTGACACAATTTTAAAATCCTCACTCGATTTTTTAAGCTTTGCAAGGGAATTTAATTCTTTTCTCCTTTAGAGTATATCATTGATATCTTGTTTATGAATTCTCAATTATGAGAGGCTTTTTTAGCAGTTTTTTTCAGGTACGAAAGGTAAGCTTATACCTTCTTTTTATTTTATAACGTTGTATTTATGGGAACTAAATTACTCATTTTCATATAAGTGGCATGAAAAAGAAAACCTAGATTTCAGTCATGCTTGTAATTCTCTAGTTAGTAAAACTTATTCAACAAAGTTGCACAAATGTAATTTTACGTTTGTCTGTTTCCTCCAGTTTCTGGTGCTGGAAACTATGAAAGCGACGAGCATTCTACCCTTAATATGGTTCAAAAGAAAGACAAGGAAATATATGTTGAGAAGGATAATTCTGCTATTTCTGCATTCAGTTGTCCACCATTGAGGAAAAACAGAACTACTGGGTATCCATGCATCCATGACTTATGTTTCCCTTTTTTTTATTTGAGATAATTGATGCTGCAATGAGGTAGGCATGATGGTATGGCACTGTCGCATATATTCAGAGTATATCAATTTCAGTATACTATGCAAGTACTTGTGTATCTGGGCACTTCGCTTCAGCAGAAACTATGTTTTTAGAGCTTGACAAAGGTTTTGTCTATGTTGCACCGATACACCTATTTATGAAGGCGTGCTGTATCTGATACACCGATACACGGATACACCTCCGACATGGCACCGATACGTGTCGGATATGGCAAAGCCGTATCCAATTAAAATATTATTTAATTTCAAAAGGACGCGTATCCGTTGAAAAACAAAAAAAAATCTGAAAAAAGGTGTGTCGTATTTACTTCCATAGCTGTGAGCGAAGTTCTCTGATTTTCGAGATGGATTTTGATATTATAAGCTACAAGGCTACAAATGATATTGCTTTTTTTTTTTTTTGGAATTTCAAATATTATGCTTTTATTGATTTCTTAATTTTTATGTATGATTTATAAATTATAACGTCGTATCCACGCCGTACCTATATCTTGTACTTTTAAGAATTGACGTATCTCATATTCATATCGTGTTGTATCTGTGTCGTCGTATCCGTATCGGTGTAACATAGGGTTCTGTGTTCTTATTCTGGCTTTAGAGGTTGCACGGTTTTTTTAGTTGGACAGGGCTGGATCTTAAAGCTAGTACTATGGTTTTGTTTCAATGTCATCATTATCAACATTAACCTTATCCCAGCTATTTATCTTTTAGTTTTGCTTCTTTTTGTAGTGTTCCAGATATTCATATATTTTGGTTCTACATGAAGCATAAATGATCTTTCTAAGTGAAAGCATTGTTTAATTTCTTACTTCCACTTTTTGTTATACACACTTTTATGTCTTTTATTTTTGTTCATATGTTTGATCCTTTACAACCTCAAAATGATGACATAAGGGCATCTCCAACCGAAAATCTCATTTTTCACTCCAAAATGCAGTGTAACAAAAAAATGGTGTGATTCATCTCCAATCGAACTCCATTTTGCGCCTAGGTAACCGTCTTTCTCTTTCGCGCGTTTCTTCGGCAAATTTGGTAGACACAAAAAAATAGCGCAGGTGAACAGTGCAACGCCAATATTGGTGTCACACTGTTCACCCACAACCAAATGCCGGAAGTTTTTCCATTTGGCTGGAGCTCGCGAGCGACGCCATTCATGTATTTGGAGTTCGGTTGGAGGTGCCCTAACGATAAAATTAGCAATTATAGATATTGTTGAAAGCAACTAGATGAATCTCTTGGGGGTATAAGATTTTATGATTCTGTAGTTGTAGCTAAGAAACAATACTTGCTAGTTAAGTTTCAACAGAAGTAACGTGGCTTATGCCATTCATACAGGAGGATGAAACAAGTGGGCGGTTCACTGCCTGGCACTAACTCCGTTCCATTTCAGAAGAAGAAAAAGGTCAATTCTTTCTTTTCATTAGTTTGATTTTTGTCATGAAACTCTACACTATAAATTGCCTTCATTTTTCCTTCACAAAAACCAATCTGCTCTTCTTTGTCATGATATGGAAGCTTTGATTCCTTCAAAATGGCCACTCCTTATTTAATTTGCAGCAAGCCTTTCATGTTATGTTCATATATTATGTGCTTTTTAGAAATTGAGCAGAAGCAGTTCATCAGTTTAATAGTTCAGATATTTTCTTCACAACATGGATAGTCATTATATATCTTCATAAAAATCTCTAACACATTATTCCCTTATTTAAATTCTTAAATTTTGGTAAAGTTTTAACAGCTTTCGAGTCCTTAATTGCAGTATATATATGTAGGTTGCATCTATAATATAGATTGTTGAGATCACATGTGATATAATACTTTAAATCTTGCATTTGATCAAGGATCGGAATTCTTGAGGTGATGAGAAAAATTATTATTCAAATCCACAATAGAAAGAACTATTCATGCCATCGATTGATTTTATGTTCCTCAAAACAAATATGTTTTTATGCATTCTGGAATGTGCAATCATCATGGAGGAGTTGGTCGTGGAAAGTATTGCAAATATAGAGATCCTCTCAAAAGCTAACCGTAGATTAGCCTTTATCTCAGTAAGATTTTGTTTAGGGATGGCTTTTTTATTGCTTCTTGAAGCAGCTTTTTTAGTATAAAAATTTTAATTTTTTAACTAAAAAGTTGCTTCAAGAAGCAATAAAAAAGTCGTCCCAAATGAAGCCTAAGTCGCAAGATTAGGAATGTATTGTAACGTAAAACTTCATCACTAGCCACAAGTCGGTATCACCTCCACAGTCCACATGCGTAGAAGGGTACCATGATATATAATAGATTAGGGGTGTCAATTTCGGGTCACGGGTCGGGTTCGGGTCGAACCCGAACTGACCCGGGTGGAAAACGGGTCAACCCTAACCCGACCCGGGTAAAGAAACGGGTCGAAAATCCGAACACGGACCCGACCCGGCGGGTTGTCGGGTTGACCCGACACGACCCGGAACCGCGACGGCGGCAGCGCGCGGCAGCAGGCGTCGGCGGCAGCGCGGGGCACTAACTCCATTCTTTATTGTCATATTTGGACATTTATAGAAATGATTTGTTGACCTTGAATTGAATCCCTGAAATCCCGTCGAAATTCAGTGTAAATCCTGCAAAAAATATACGTACATGTTCGACGCCGAAACCATCTCCTCCCACGATTCGCTCCCCTCAATAGAGCATCCATCCATGACTTAATGTTTCGGTGCCGAAAATTTCTCAGTGAAGAATTCAGATTATTCAATCACATCATTAAGGCTTCGTTTGGGATAGCTTTCTTACTGCTTCTTAAAACAATTTTATAGTATAAAAATTTTATTTTTTTGTACTAAAAAACTACTTTAAGAAGTAATAAAAAACCGTCCTAAACGAAGCCTAAATGTAGATAATTGATCATTAATGTCATTAAAAACGTTCAAATAGCACAATTATTTGTGATCTAATCAAAACAAGTTACTTCTACATAATGTATTAACAGGTTTATTTTCTACACCAACAGTCTTTAATCCCAAAATTATAATCATTTGTGATTCTTGACCTGAACTTTTTTTTTTGTTTTTTCTAATTGAACATTTGTTGGTAAATCTGCAGAGGAAGCGACAGATCAAACCCAGTGAGTATAAACTTCCTCAAGATTTTATTAATGAACACAGAGCCTACTTTGAAGAGGTAGATGCCTTTGAACTGCATGAAGAGGTCATCTCAGAAAGTGAATTAGAGTAAGTATTTTTTGCCCTTCCTCCTTCATAAGGAATAGTCAATACTGTATAGCCTTTCCTTTCCTGTAAAAAAATCATAGAGTTGTTCAGGTAACAAAGAAATTAACAGTAGTTTCTTTCGATTGAACTGTATTTAAGAGGTGGATTACATTCCAGAATAGAAGTAATAGATAGATAGTCATATCTTGATTTAAATTCTATTAAATATAAATAATTCATATTTCAAAATAAATTTTATTCTAATTTAGTTTATATCATGATATTTTAATATAATTTGTATTCAACAATAAAATCTAAGGCTTCGTTTGGATCAACTTTCTAATTGTTTTCTAAAGCAAATTTTTAGTTTAAAATTTTTATTTCAAATAATTTTGGTACTAAAAATTTGTCATAGAAAGCAGGAATAAATTTGTCCCAAACAAAAGCTAAGATTTCATTTGTGACTACTTTTTTTAAATAAATGGGGAAGAAGAAGATGATTTATTCTACTGTTCTTCAGTCTGGACCGATCTTTATAAGAATTTATTCTCTACTAAAAAACAATACAGAAGAGAAGATTTATGTATGGATTACATAATTTTTATATTTTTATATATTTAAAATAGAACATTTAAAGTTTTTAAATTACATCAGAATTATTATTAATATTTGTTTTTATAAAATAAAATATTTTTTTTTTTCGTATTTTAATGTGATTATAATATAATCTTTAATTCTCAAGCTTTGAAATGAAATATACTCTGAAATTTTTTGAAATTATTTTTCAGTAGTTTTGGAGGTTAGGACATTTTAGGATTTTAATTTTTAGTTTGATCAAATATGAATACTTTGTCGTGCAGAGCTCACTCTCTCTAATAACTCTAAAAAGATTAAAATGTATAGTTCAATATTTTGATATAAATTATATTAGAATGAACTTTAAAATTAGTACAATATAAAATTATTTATTCAACACTAATTTTGAAGTAATTAAATAACTATGAGTTCATCCATGCAATGTTTTTTGCGCGAAAAAGCTCTTAGGCTTCATGGATATGGATCCATTTATATCCCGTGAATTTGAAAACGTTCACTCAAAAAGGTGGATTTGCATATATATGCTATAAATTTTAATGAATTTATATATGTAAAACTTATAATTTTTTATATTTGTTTATATATTATTTTAATATTTAAATCATGTAAAATATAAGTAAAAATATGTATTTTTTATTCAAAATACATTAATATTAATAATATTTTATGAGAATTAAAATTTTGAGTATTATATTAATAAATATTAAAAAATAAAATTTAATATATAAAAAATCAACATAAATGATCAGAAATTCCACAACAATTTGACATAATAAAACTTCACATATCTCATCATTCTCAACATGTGAAGCTACCAACTCATTATTGCCCACATGTACTTGACAAATTAAGTTGACAAAAAGCTTAGATGGATCGTACTTGAGTGCTCAGAGAATCCTTAACTTTAGTTGTTCTAAATTGATATTTCTTAGCACTTACAAGGGACGATTTCTACCCCCATAATACGTTGGCATAAAATTCACATTTACTTGAAATTCACATCTATACATTAACATGAAAGTTGCTCCTCACCCACTTATTATTGAATTTCTATATTTCATTAAAAAAATAGGCAATCAGCATTGTTAATATACATTTCCCCAAAAAATAAATAAATAAATAAAACAATTTCCACATGATCATTGTCTGTTGGTCCCTAACCAAAATTCTAATCATAGCTCATAATTTAAGCTCACTTATTTTCTTCTGATTTTGCCTCTGTTTCTCGTTTCTTACAGCATATTCCAATTTTCATAAATTTCATTATTGAAATTACAATAATACCCTCCTAATCCTTCAACCCCAAAATTCAAGAAAGGTCATTCATGTCATTTCATACTGCCCCGTACACCCACACGTTTAAAAATCAAAACTATACGCTCCCTCCTCCACTTCAATCTTCCTTCGCCGTCTATCTAAACTCCACTCCAATGTCGCCTTCCTCCATTCGCGCCGCCCATTACTATAACAATGGCCGCCACCACCGCCGCCGCCACCGTATTCTCTTTTTACAAACTGGTAGACTGCCACTCATTTCCCCGTACCGTTCGCTCTTTTCCTGGAAGCCCAATGCATCTAAGGTGCCGTGCTCCGCATTTACGCCCTCATGCTCTCGCAGCCGGAGACCCCTCCACCGAACTTTGCGTTGTCTTGGCCGGAGGTGGATCCGGTGGCCATATCTTCCCCGCCCTTGCCATTGCCGACGAACTCAGCGCCGTCCGCCCTAATGCTCGCATTGTCTTCCTTGGCACGGCTTCTGGTATGGAGAGCGAGGTTGTTCCTTCTGCCGGATACGAGTTTGTTCATGTTCCGAAGGTCTGCCTAGCCCGCCCTTTCCTCTCCCCGCTCAACCTCCTCCTTCCCTTTCAACTCTTACGTTCCATCATCGCTAGCGCCGCCGTGCTCTCCCGCCTCCGCCCTAAAGTCGTTGTCGGCACCGGCGCCTACGTGTCCGCCCCCGTATGCTTCGCCGCCATCATCTCCGGAATAATGCTCGTCATTCAGGAGCAAAATTGCTACCCGGGCATCACTAACCGTGCCCTGGCACCCTATGCGGAGAAGATTTTCCTTGCGTTCAACGCTTGCATAAAGTATTTCCCTAGAGACAAGTGCGTGGTATGCGGAAACCCTCGTCGTCTCAGTAGTGGCTCTGGTGGTGGAGTGTCCAAGGCTGATGCTAGGCAGCATTTCTTTCCCGAATCTGGTAACATGGATTTGGATGAGAGAGCTCTGGTGGTTCTCGTGCTCGGGGGTTCGATCGGAGCCAATGCTATGAATCTTGCTTTCTTGGAGGTTTGCTATGATATGCTGGCTAAGCAAAATAATATATTCATTATTTGGCAGACAGGAGCGAAGTGGTTCGAGGATGTCAAACGTGTTGCCAAGGTTCATCCCAGATTGTTCCTTACACCGTAAGCTATCCTTTTAACAAGTGATTAAAGTGCACGGCATCTTAATGTTGCAAAGTTTCTGTGCTTATGGATTTCTAAACATTTGATTTGTACTATTTATTAAGGTTCTTAGATGCAATGGAGTTAGCTTATGCTGCTGCTGATCTTGTTGTTTCTCGAGCTGGAGCAATGACTTGTACGGAGATACTAACTGCAGGAAAGCCGTCAATTCTGGTAAATTTAGATGCTATTACTTTGCAATTAATTGCTAGATATAAGCTTTTGGAAGGGCAATGATTTGCATTTAGCTGTGATATTTAGCTGTGATGAAGCATTCGATAGATGACACATTTGAAGTAAGGGTTAGTGGCATTCAATAATGTATTTTAGATTCAGTGAGTAACATTGTTGAACTTTTAATTGTACGTGTATATCAGAAATGCTTATTTTTGCAAACTTATTTGTTTGAAGGTTTGCTTAATTTTGTTCACCCTTCCTGATATTCATTTTTGCTGCATAATAAATCAGACTATATATCATTTGCTGGAATGGCTAATACTTCTTCTAATCATTAATATACTTTTTTTTGGCAACAAATTAATTTAGTTTGTTTCTGCCTATTACAGCCAAAAAATTTTGTCCTAAGATAATATCTTCTGTTGATTCCATCCACTGTGTGTGTATGCGCTATATATGAGTTCTTTGTGGTAATTCACTTACTATCAAACAAAAAAAAAGTTCTATGTGGTTGGTTAAGGTTCTTAGAGATGTCAGGTGCCTATCAGCATGCAATTCATTGTCTTCATGTAAACTATTAAGGGTATAGATATAGAGACCGTAATTGCTCTCTAAGCCAAGATTTTATTGTCCTATGTAGGAAAGTCTGGTTTTTTGGGTCTATGATACCTGGCCTCTTGCAAACAATAAATGCAGTATTGAAGACATGGCGGTCCTGGAAGCTTTGAAAGAACCATAAGAGTGATGGATATTAGTTAGAAATCTAAATTACATCTCTTCTTGCACGTTCATCCCTATTATGTTTGTTATATTAGTGTCATTTTGGCTTGCCACTTTTTTTTTTCTATTTTCTCACATGTAGTAGGCGAGCGTCATTAGTAAGGCGTGCTTAGGTGAGCAACTTACCTTAAGGAATCAAACAATGAAATGAGCACCTTACCTTGATTTGCAAGATGGTGGTGATAATTCAAATGCTGGACATGACTTAGTTTTTGTAAGAGAAAAAAATCAAAATAGTCCCCCTACCATATTCTATGTGATTAATTTAGTCTTAGAGTATCACATTTCTCTAGTTTAGTCCCTCTATTACACAATATTAAATCCAAATGATCCCTTGTAATAAAAATGGATGGACAACAACGATGATGACAACAACATCAAGCCTTTATCCCACTGTGGGGTCGGCTACATGAATCATTTTTCTCCATTTTGTTCTATTAAGGGTCAAATTCTTATTTAAATCTAATAAAAATTGATGGATAATGGAATATAATATTGATCCAAATTTATTTCCTTGATTATACAAAATTGATTTCGATTTGGTCCATATTGGATCATTTAGGATCAATTTCGTATAGTCAATGGATTAAATTCGAAAAATGTGATACTTCAGAGCTAAATTGGCCGCATTCAAATAGTTGAGGGGCCATTTTAGGCTTTTCCCCCTTTTTTAAATGATAACTTGGCATGGAATGTTATGAAAGAGCATTAAGAGTTGGATAAACAAGCATGTGCCCCTGCCCTCGAAAATAAGTTGATCAAACTTAGGAAGCTTTGAAGTTGTAAATCTTGAAGAAGAAGAGGATGGCTCTAAAAAAGTACGGAAGAGATGAGTGCTACAAATCTGAAAGACAGAGAGAAGGCATAGATTATGATGTAGATGAAATAGTTAGTCGCAACGATTACATTATCCGTAAGTTGTACATACTACCAAATTAAGTTTAACTATACTGCATAAAATCTGGATGTCATGGAACCAGAAACTTAATTATTTTATCAAAAATAATATACTGAGGTGATTATTAAATGAAAATCTTCAAAAGGATTCCTCATAACCAAAATAAATTTATAAGCAATATAATTATTTATTTTCAGTGCTCCACTTCATTCGTGTTAACACCTATGGTGGTGCACTGGTGCCTAATGCATCGAATGTTTAGCAACCATAGCGTCTTGTCCTTTAAAAATACTGGTGTTGAATGATATGTTGTGTTTTGGATATATGCACTAGAGAAGGGTTTGTACAGTCAAAATGTTTGTAATGCATTTAGTTTGGCTTTAAATACTTGCCTTGTGGAATAGGTAGATTTTAATTAATAGCATGTTGTGTAATATGTGCATACTTTTATTTCATTATGTACTCATTTTTCCTTTCTATTAAGGTAGATCCCATCACCAACTGCTTCAGATGACCACCAAACAAAGAATGCATATGCCATGGCAGATCTAGCAGGGGCTCATGTCTTAACAGAGGATGAACTTGATTCCTGTAGTCTTCAAACAGCCATCAATAATGTGTTAGGTATGTACAGTTTCTAGACAAAATTTATTGGATTTGATGCTTCAGTGGGTCGGAGACAAAAAGTTAGTTAACCTTAATTTAAAAGGAATATTTTCATTTTACAGGAACTGATAACTAATTGACTCAATATTGGCGACAATATATACTTAAATTGCATAATATTCCAAGTTATTAATTTTCAACTCATGTGTGTGATTTTGTTCAAATTGCTATAAAATTATCTTGAAACGAGTGGCTGTTTTTTCACTTTTGAGGTAATTATAGAAGTCAGCTATTGCCAAAAACTTTGCAAGATTGAGGTTTCCATCGTTCATTTCTTGAATTTCAATTTTATAAAGGATCCTTTGTTGGGCTGGAGTGACGAGTTTTATCTGGCCAGCATTCGCCATTAGATGTTAAAAGAAAAGTAAGCATTAAACAGTCGAGTCTTCATTTTGTTGTGCCCAAAATTTAATCATTATGTCATAAAGTATTTATAGAGGGTCGTCTAGAAGCAGAGCTTAAGCTTACTCCATTGTGATTCGGAGGTCCAGGGTTCTTGTCATAAAAGTCGCCTATTTGAATTATAGGACAAATTTGTACCAACTCTATCCCAAATTCTACCTTAGTGTAATTTTCACTATGTTAGTATTTGTGAGGGAACGGTTGTAACAGTTGAGAGGAATGAGCACTTTTGTGGCTATAAACCAGAAGTCCAAGACACAAGCCAAGAGAAAATTAACAAATTAGAAGAACAAGTTTGGTAATCAAAACTGATTAGCATCGCCACCATCATTATTAGCCTTATTCAAATACTGATCCCCGACTTAATGAATCTTCATTCTCCAATAATCCATATTGTATGTGCCGCGTAAGATTTTATGATGCTTGATATTTTAGTATTTAGGCTTCCTTTAGAATGGATTGGAGCATTTTTCCTCACGCATCTTTCACTTTTCCTCCTAGATTTTGAATGATTGGGGTAGAAGGTAGTTAGAAGCCATCGATGTTAATGCATGTGGGAGTTTGGCTTTAGACCTGGATTAAATAGTTGAAAATCATGATATAAAATACTAAGTAGTTGCTCCTACCTATTGGTTTAAATATTTGAGTTGAAAATTAGTTTGACCAATAGTATGTCTAGCTTGATTTTATCCCCCCCTTTGATTTCACCCTTCAAAAAATGCGATATTATAATTGATGGTTCGATTGTCATAGAATGGTTCACATTGTTTTGCAGCTCCTATTTGTCTTAAATGTTTTATACAACATTTTAGTAAAATTCAAAATTGTATGGCTCCCATGGCATCAACAGGCCGTTGAGCGGGCTCTTAGCATATATTTTTGTTGCGTAACAAACAAAAAAATTATTTAAGAAGAGATAGCTGGTGTAGAGAGCTCTCATGTTAGTGGAGATTTTTAACATACATGAGAATTTGGGAGGTTTAATCCCACATGAGATAGTTGAAAAATATATTGTTATAGAAATATTAAGTAGTAAACCCTTGCTTATATATACTAAAACTTTTTTGGTCGAATATGAATTTGATCATTCATCGTGTAACTACTGTAAATCTCAACCATTAACAAAAAATGGATGGAAAGTGAAAATATGTGTGATGAAGAGGCCTTGTATCCTTCTAAAATATTAGTATCCATTCTCTCTCCCTGGTCTTATTTGCCAGTAACTGGCAACAAGATCTGATGATTTGAAAGTGAAAAGGCTTTTGCAGTTACATTGGCTAAACATAACCTGTAATTCACTCTTTCTTTTCCCCTTTTCAACCAACTGGGCACGTTCTTAATGTTGCAGGTGATAATAACTTGATGGAAGAAATGTCTGAGAAGGCAAGGAGAGCTTCTCGACCCAATGCTGCATCTCATATAGCTGAATGTATTCTCTCGATTTTGGTTTAAGCTTTGGCAAAGGTACGCATTCATTTCTAATTCAGACTGAATTACTACTCCCTCTTTTCTCTTTCCCGCTCCCCTCTCTTTCATTTCGCCTTCTCTTTACCGTTAAATAGAAAACATACTCATTAATTGGAGATATTTTGAGCCAAATTTGATCACAAAATTAAAATAGATACTCCTTAAAAATTTAGGGACCAATTTGATTATTTACTAATTCTATAATCAATATATTTATTTTAAGATGATTAACAATACATGGCTGATTAGTTAAGTTTTACATTGCAATTATTAATAGCTATAAAAAAGGGATTTTTAAATACATAACTCCTAAAACTATTGAAAACACATTTTTAACATATTAACTTCTATATTTACTAATATATCACATAAAACTCCTCTTTTAATCAATCCTAGCATTCCGTTTAACCTTCCGTCAAAATCACTATCAACGACTATCTTCTCCATCAATGGCATCCTTCCACAGTGAATACAAGTATCTCATCGCTTTAATAGAGTGGTAGAATAGGAGGAAAAGGAGATTTTATGTGGTAAATCAATAAATATAAAAACTTTAGCGTTAAATATGTATTTTTAATAATTTTATGTGTTATGTGTGAAAAAATCCCTAAAAAAAATGATCCAACTAAATTTTGATCTGACGCAATATTTTCTCCACACAGATATTCTCCCGTTTTTGACAGGTTCTTTCGAGATCAAGTAATTACCTAGGAGCTGGGGACTATTGCATATGTTAGTTCTTCCTGCAGACCCACCACAATCTGGATGTTCTTAATTTTCACTTACAAAGAAGAATAAATATCTAATCATACATATTTGTATACAGGGTGTAAGTACTGATAAATTTTAATTATTAAATAATAATTTATAAAATGTTTATATGCATTAGAGAGACAGAAGGATTAGAGAGACAGAAGGATGAGAAGACATTCATGCTTAAATCAACGCAGCTTATCCTTAGTTACGCAGGTAATAAGAAAATCTTCCAGATCAACAATGCCAGTTTAACCCCAAATGCATGATTAAGTGCATCTCCAGCCGAACTCCAAATGCCAAATGACTGTAAGGCATAGTTGGTTTGCTCCATTCGAACGGTAAAACAATTGCTAATCGGTGGAGGGTGAATAGTGCGAAGCAATATTGGTGTTGCGTTGTTCACTTACATGATTTTTCTATTTCAACCGGATTTGTCAAAGAAACGCGTGAAAGAGGAGAAGACGATTACCTTCATAGAAGCGCACAAAATGGAGTTCAATTGGAGATTAATCAAGTCATTTTTTAGTAAAAAAAATGAGATTTTTGATTAGAGATGCCCTAAGCCTCTATTATCAGACTCAATGAAATATCATTCCTTTGAAATATATCCAATTCATACCACTTTTCATGATCCTTAATTAAAAGAGAACTAACATGACATCAATGTACAAATTTGTGACAGATCAATAAATAAACCGTAGAAAACACAGGTTAGAACTGAAATTAGATGTGAACCAGAACAAGATTATTTGATGAGTATCATGTATAAATAGAATGATGAAGGCATAATTTACATGCTACATAATATACATTACAAAAGTACCTTGGAGCCAAATGTGAATTTGTACATTGCAGGTTTATAGGATGCATATTCCTTTTATTCTAATTAATTTCAAGGTTTATTCATTGGATTATAAACCTTGAAAGCTTGCTGAATTTCAATTTAATTCTTACAGGGAACCATTTTTTGAAATTTTCAAAAACTGGGAGAGACTGATTGCTGGGTAGGTTTGCTTAGATCCTGCCTTCTTCCTAATTTTCGTCACCTTCAACAGGTTGGAATTTTTTGTTGTTGCTGTAGCAGAGATCAGATTATAATACTGCCATGAAGAAAATGAAGCATAAATTAAAATTTGATTTTCGTCACTTTTATTCGTTCTAGCTAAGAGGAGAATGATTGAGAGTTGATATTATATTGATAGTTAATTGTAAAACCTCCAGTCAAACCTAATATAATGAATACAAATTAGAGTTTGCTGATGTTGGGATTATAAAGATGGTAAGGTGATTCTATAAGAATGACTAATCACACAACATATGATAGTAGAAATAAATATATAAATTAAAAAGTACAAAATAATAATAAAATAATTATAACATAAGATTGTGAGATTTTACATCTAAATTTATTAATCTTTCTTAATAAGTTGCTAGGATAAGCAAATTGAAATTCTTTGATAAACCTAAATCTGATATGGTTTGAGAAAGAATTAACTTGTGGTAAGTGATCTCATGCATGCTTGGAAATTAGAGTTTGATGTAACAATAATTATGTGAGGTTGGTTAAAGATGTATTTATTGTGTGTTATAAATATGCGATTTCAATAATATAAAATTTTAATCATATGAGTTTTACATATATTTCATATACATTGAGATTAGTGCAATAAAAATTTTAATTGATCTATCATATATTTCATTAATCTCAAAAGAAAATTTAATGATTATAAACCATATATGTATCCAAATTTTCTCCATTGCCTGATGTCTCTTAACTTATCATACCCTCCATTTCTGTGCATAGTTATGGAGTGATTTCCAGAGCTTATATTTGTACTCACACACAGGTATGCAAATCACATGGTTTGTATAGGAAATCCTATTCCATGCAGTCTGTATAGAAATATTTTTTTTCCAAGAAAAATGATTACCTCGCATACGCCATGCAGCAATAATCTGTGAAAAGGATTCTGAACATGCAGTTTGAGGACATCTTCATCACCTCTATTCTTAATGAATGCTTGTATTTGCTCCTAAAACACAAACTTATAAGTACAAGTAAGGAATTCAATCAGCTAAGAATGATAAAAGACAAGGAGTTAATGGTTTTGGAAGCCTTTCTTTACCCTATGAAATTTAAGCTTTACCATGATGACACCAAAATTTGTACCAAAGATGAAAAATACAGAGATGAATCTGCAATGGTTCTCGCTCATTTAGCTTTGAAAAGGCCAATCATTTAAAGCCTAAGGTTTCGTTTGTGACAGCTTTTTAGCTGCTTTCTAAAATAGCTTTCTAGTACAAAAATTTCTAATTCAAAATTTTTTTTAATAGAAAATTGTTTTAGAAAGCAGCAAAATAATTGTCCCAAATAGAGTCTAAAATATTGAAAAATCGCTTTAAAAAGAAGTAAGAAAGCCGTCCCAAACGAAATCTTAATTCACCTAAATGCCTGGAATATTATATATGTATGGTTGAAGAAAACCCATATATGACAAACAAATACAACTGGCAACACCACTGTGAACAACACTACTGAAAGTAACATGGAAGTAGCGAACAATGATGAAGGAAAATGTTTTGGAATCAGCACTTTACCTCATAGTTCTCAACCAATTCTGAGAGCAAATTGTGCCTAAATGCCTCCCGAGATCGACAATCCACTCGGTACCATGCATTCAAAGCCACCAACTTATCTTTCTCAACACTTTCTCTTCTACTTGAGAGAGTCTTCTCAAGTGCTTCTATCAACCTTGCCTTATTTGAAGAAAAGGGGAATAGGTTATTACTCTTAATTTTGGCTAAACCCTAAACATTACGATAATGATATCAGGATATAAGTACTTCACTAGATAAGTGGTGGAAAGAATGATATAATAGAATATAGATGAAGATGAAAATTAGATGTGAGAACTAAGTGATTTCAAGCAAATCCGATCCCGACTAAAATTTGGCTCAAACATGCATAATCTAGCTCAAAATCAGCTCATGGATCGAACTGATTTTATTTCAGGCCAACTTGGTTCGAATTAGTCTGAAATAGAGCTAGCTGGAATTTAAAGTGAGCAAGCTTGAAATCATTTATTCTCCATTTTTTAAATTTTAACAATTACAACTACTGGCATTGCAAGAAAGGCAAAGCATTATAATGCAATAAGAGAGTAGAGATAATCAAAGTGAAAAATAGATTAAAAAAGTTTAAAAAAAAAACATATGGCACCAGAAATGGACACCTCTTTATCCATATCAATGTTCCTGAATACATCCCATTCTCCAACATTTGTCATGCAAAATGCTGATAGAGGAGTACTTTCACCTGTAGAAGCCAGCATGGTGACACAAATCAAACAGAGAGACAAGAGAATAGGGTAAAAAACATACAAAGCCAATAAACTCTGCAACAAAGAGATTAAGGCTTCGTTTGGGACGGCTTTCTTTCTGCTTCTTAAAGCAGCTTTTTAATATAAATTTTTTAATTTTTTTAACTAGAAAGCTGCTTAATGAAGCAGTAAGAAAACTGTCCCAAATGAAACCTAAAGTTCTAAATGGATGACTAAAATAATCTCTCTGCGTATTACACAAACCCTCCATCAAATGCCAAATTCAATGGCACCAATTGAGAAAACTTAAAATCATAGCAAACAGCTTTAAACTTCTCCTTTGGCATTTAAGCTCATAAGACTCATGAACTATCATTTAAGAACTATTGAAGAATCTAGACAAAAAGGAAAAACTTTGTTAGTGCTGCCATATGGAGTTTTATTTAGTTAAATCATGTTATAGAGTGACAATTGCTAAGAATTTTATTTAGTTTTTATCTCCACTAATTAACCAACAACAGCAAATATATCTATAGAACTGTAAATTTAGAATTTTTAGGGAGTTGACAGGCTTTCTGTACAGAAGCAAAATCTTTGGGAAACCGAATCTTATTTCTGGTTGTTATTGATGAGAAAAACACCTTCACTTTTTAACTTAAAGAACATTTTTAGATAATGTTATTGAACAAACAAGTGAAGAACTTACAAATTCTCAGTAATATTAAAGTTCTTAATAGATGCCAAAAATCAGCTGTAATGCTACCATGAGTTATTGAACATTTGAATGAACTAGTGAAGGAACATTTACCCCAAGGAGGTGGAGCAAACAAGCCTCTTATTTCCTCGACTTTCAGGCGTGGAACCAGCTCTATCAGTAAGCGATCATTTAACCATCGACGGGATCTCCGATTGCTAACCTATAAATTCTAAAATGATTACTATAAAAGTATCACATGAAATATCTTCTTCTTTTTTTTCATATAAAGTATGTCAAGAAAGCACAGTATAAGTTTACATGGTAAATAAATGAAAATTTCTACAATATGACAGAGGGATAGAACTTCATGAAGTAAAAATGAACTTTGTGAATCTTTTTGTTTTTTTTTTTTTTTTCATTTAGTGTGCTCGAAAGACAAACACAATGTTGGTTCTTCAATCATGAACTATGCCTTTTCTTCTAAGAGATGAATAGTTTGGTCATGCTCACTCAGGCAGACCAAAACACAAGTGGTTTGTACAGAAAATTGTAGTCATCAATTGGGTAAACTTATATAAAAATTATTGCCTTGTAGGGGCTGTTTGGTCGCAGCATTTAGGCCAGATTTGAGCGAAATCTAGCCAAACAAACGAAAATGCAAAACCAAATCTCAGGGCAAATGAAAGCCACCGTAAACAGAAAATTCCGTCTTTTCGTGCTAAATCCTGGATATCTGAAATCCGGTTTTTTGCAAAATTTAAGAAATCCATTGGGTCGAGAGGAAGAGTCCGCTCGTTAAATCCTCTCTACAACCAAACACTCACACAGGATTTAATAGGATTTATCAAGAAAGTTACCAAACAGTTTTCAAGATTTAGGCCCCTTAAGATTTCTAAAATCCATATTTAGAGGATTTACAAAATCCTACTTAAATCAAATCCTGGGTGCTACCAAAGAGCCCCTTAGCGTTATGATCTTCTTTTATGTTGCTCTTTTCTCTGACTCTTGGTGTTTGAATTAGGTTTCAGCTATTGCCCATGACATCCATGGCAGGAGAATACCAGACAAATCAAACTAAACTCATTTAGGATCCATTACTCTAGAAGGAAGACACCTTACTCATGATACAATCATCAATTTGTTTTAATTTCATTTTGGAACAAGAATCAGCTTCTCACAGTATTATGCTAAAATCACCTCCTAAAGGATGGAAAGTTCAGATGTAAATTAGGTCACCTTGCCAGCCAACTTCTCCAAAGCTTCAATCTTCCTTTCAATCAACTGCCCGCGCGATTTCACGCCCTCGCCTTGAATGATAGAATCCAAAAGAGAAAATATCAGAACGCTCAACGCCAATAAACTCGGAGTCAACCCAGAATTCCCATTAGAGAACTCAGAAAATATGCTAATAAAGGCGGAAAAGGGGGGGCGGGGTAGGGAGCTGAAAAGATTAACCTGCGGGCAGGTCAAAGATGGAGAAACGCACGAGCTCCTCCTCTATCTTCAGAATATCGGCATTCGCCATTGTTAACAAAGGAAGAATCTGAAAGGCGAAAGATCGATGATACCTTAGCAGAAAGGAGATTTAGATCTCCGATTAGACAGATAAGGACGACAGCTTACAGGAGAAGAAGAAGGAGAAGGAGTTCCAATTCTTCTGCAAGGATTTTTCGACGGAGAGAGAATATGCTTTTCTGCCTTCCTGGTCCGAGGAGATCCAGTAAGCGGCGGCTTACTCTTCACTACTCGGGAATCCCGATATTGCGATCTTCAGAGCATCCTGGCCGTTGGAACTGCTGATCAGACCAACGAATGGTGGATAAGATCCTTAAAAGATCACTTGGCCCATCAAATTCATCACAAAATAACAATAAACAAAATTGGGTCTAACTCAATTTGTTGGAATCAAAGGAGCTCATTTTGATGCCCCTTTGATGGATAATGATCGTATTTGAAATGCTTCATTAGTATTTTTTTTTACAATCCTCAACAAATGTGCTAATTATATTTATAATTAGTGGGAGTCGAAAGCATCATTATATGCTCGCACGACATGGCTCAAAATATCTATATTCTCTACGTGAGCAACTATTAAAAAGAAATGAAAATTATAGACACCCAAAGTATAATCAAATACAAAAATACCATCAAATTGTAATAAGGATTTGAATGTTGTGTTATTGAATAAATAGATTGAAGTTATATTCGTCTATCACAGCCTAATCGATCTTAATATAACTCTTATAGTTGTTTTTGGTTGAATTATTTTAAGGTGTAAAGTATTTCAAATATAGGAGTTTTATAAATTTTGGTATTTGGTTGGAATACAAAATGATACAAAGTAGAGTAAATATAATGTAAAGCGCAGTTATTCATTTTAAGTGTAAAGCAATTTAGTCTGACTTTGATTGAGAATTATTTACACTACAAGCTTGCTTGACCGCCGAACACCATTGCCCCGCTGCCCCACTGCCCCATCGCTCATCACCACCCATCGGACGTCATCATTTTGGACTTTACATTCATTAAAATCCATTCACATTTATTATATATATAGGCTAAGATTTTAATTTTTAGATGTTTTAAAAAACATTAAGAAAGTCGTCCTACACTAAGCTTAAAATGAGCTTGGCTGAGTGAATCGTACCCGCAATTCCGTCTTCATTCATCTAGCCCAATTATTTTCTTAAAAGAAATGCACATATATTTATCAATTAAAAATATTTTATAATTTATCGGTTCTAATCTCCATCCTGAGGCGAATTCCTTCTTTGCAGGCAGAGAGAGAAAGGGAGCTTGCGATATTGGTTGAGCGGAGAAGAGAAGGTATGGCTTCGCCGGCTTCCACTGTGAAATCCGAAGAAGAATGGAGAGCGATTCTGTCGCCGGAGCAGTTTCGGATTCTTAGGGATAAAGGAACTGAGTAATTTCTTTCATTCTTCTCCCTGAAATTTGAGATTTCCCTTTTTTTATTCTTTTAATCTGCAATCGCTAGATATGTTTGTTGTGAATTTTGATAGAATTTTTTTTTAAAAAAAAGTTCCTGATTTTATGAAAGTATGCCTGAGATTTTGCTTGGATGTGGTGCTTAGTTGTTTAAATGGTTCTATTGATAGGGTTTTAAACCTAATTATTTGCCTATGCGATTGATACTGCTAACCTGATAGGGTATTTGATGAGCTTATTTGACTGGATTGGATGAGGAGTTATTGTAAAGTTTTTAGTTTTGATCAGTGAGGATTGCTTGGCTATAAGCAGAGGCGGATATTAGGGGGGGG